TACCTCGAGGTAGCTCGCACATGTCCCACAGCATGCCGGGCACGTCTGCCGGCGGTGTGACGTTGGTTGGCTGTAGACTGGGCTGGACTGGACATTCATTGCACCGGCCGGGGCCTACGCACAATGCTCGTATAAACCGGTCACGATGAACATGCTGGTTAGGTTCCACGAGTCGACTCATCGGTGCTTTTCGTACATGCGTGGTATGTGAGCTAGTAAATGTTTGCCGCGTATGTTCAGTTCTACTCAGTCATGCAAAATAACGTAGGTTATTTGTGAGTTGGCTGAATTGGTTGCATCTCATAGACGTCAGGGTAGAGTGCACGTGTCTGAAACCGAACACCGTTCATCATCAGTACTGGAAAACATCCCACCGACCCGGGCCGCATCTCTGCCTCCAGACCTGGGCTCCGAGAACGTCCAGCCTCCGACACACCTGCGCGGCACCAGTCCCGCCTCTGGCAACGTGCCCGTGTACGTGTCGCTGACCCGGTGTGACCGCGAGGCGTCCGGGGCGGCCCGGCCGCGCGGCGCCCTGCCCAGCTTTGTCGCCACGTACTGGACCTTCCACCCGTTCAGCGAAGGCAAGAAGGCGGCCGGCCGCCTGCGCGGAAGCCACGTCGGCGACTGGGAGCACGTCAGCATCAAGGTCCAGGTGCGTCCATCCAGGTCCATCCAGGTCCAGGTGGGTCCAGGTGGGTGGGACGGTCCGGGGAGTGGGACAGGGCCGGAGGCGGGGACGTCCAACCAGCTGCCGCCGCAGCGTTTGGTCGGAGAGAACGTGAGAAACGAGACGGAGCCAGTAACGCAGAAGTGTGAGCCAAACCTGCTCCTAAGACGAAGTATTGTCGCGTGTCATGTGATTGACGTCAAGTCTTTGGAAAAATCGGAATAGCACTGTTCTCGCTTACTCTCTGTTCCCATAGTTACGCCCTGAAGTTTCGAGTTCGAGTGGGTTACGCGGAAGCCGAGCCAGAGACGGATGGTATCCCAACAGCCAGGCATCATCTCGCTGCAAGCGGTTGTCGTTGATGGCCTCAGCGACGTGTTTAACTGTGCGCAGGACGGTGCACTCGTCTCCATCTACCCGTCCGCTCACGACTTCGGGGCCTACTACACCTACAATCCGACGACGAGAGACTTTCGCCTCACGTCGCAGAACAACAGAGGCAGGTTTCCAGTCAGCCCAGAGTACGCGCCCATTGTAAGTGCCCTGACCCTTATCTGCACGTGCGGTTGCAGCTGACTGGAACGAAGATTGCCCTGAACCGGACGTCAAATGGCAGCTTCTTCAGTACACATTGACGTCACGACAGAACGTTTGGCTCAGCTGTTGTGCAGCACGACTAGTTGTGATGATGAGCTTGAGTTTGCTGCTCATCATCGTTGCCCACAGACAATTAGCGAGCAACGCGGCGGACAGTTTTAAACGTTTTAAGGCATGTGATCTCCTCCCGCCCGTACACCCGTGTGAAAATGAGCGCAGTTTACTCCAAAGCCGACGTGACCGTGCCAGCCGGCGAGACTGCAGGAAACCTGTGACCTCGGCGACCCGACCAGTTACCAGGCCTGTGACCAGAACAGTGACCAGAACACTGACCCGACCACAGTCACGGTACCGACTGTCGTCCCGAGCGCGAACTGCACTCAAGATAATCAGTGGCCGCTTCCTGTGGTTCTCCCGGAAAAATGGCGGCACGCTTTGTTCTGTCTAATGTTTATGATTATATCGTGTCTGTGTGCTTAGAGTTCACATGGTGAGCGTAAACCAGCCCATTTTAACATGGGCGTCGGTTGAAAGAAGATTTCAGTCAATCGTTTGAATGCATTATGAAAATATTTGACGATTCCAGCACTGCACATGACCATGAGCGCTTCGTGACCGTAGGGACTTGTAACCGTCGGGACTGCGGGAAGCCTGTGAATCCTCATAATTTGTTTCAACCAGTGCTTTACGTCTTCTTTTAACGAGTAACTCACAGTATATTGGAGGGCCGTTGTCTGGTTGCTTTCAGCCCAAGAACTCAGCTTCGCGTACATAACTTAGCGCACCAGAGTTACTTGAACGTAATCGTCTACAGCTTTGCTTGCGTAGTCTTCTATATGGAAAACAATAGCACTTCCGTAGTACTGACGTTGCACATAGAGCAACCGCATGTGATCAGTGAGCCAAAGATATATCCAGGTCCGACCACCGGGCCGTGCACCCTTGGCAATGGAAATGGCACCCAGTCTGTTTCAGCTGAAGGTGCGGGGCACTCACCCCGTGCTGTACGTCGCGAAAGGCTCTCACGGGCTTTGGCCGGACGCGGGTGAGCATGGATAGTGTGGGCTGCTGCTCTGATGCTTAGGGGTCTGGAAGTAATGCGCAACCATACGTTACTGATGTTTGGGGGTCTAAGAGTGACGAGCGACCACGCTTCAGAACTGAGAGGTGCTGTCCACGTCCCCCCCCCCCCCCCCCACATCGTTCCCATGAGGTACATCTGTGAGATGCAACCGTACAAAAGAGACAACTATGCGGTACGTCAAAAGCAATGACAGGGGGTGAATACGAGTCATCAAATGTCAGCTTCAGTAATAAAGCAATCCTTCCAGTTATCTGAAACATCAACCAGCGACAGAGGCCGCTACCACCAGGAGTTGATGTAGCCTGCCTTGAAAAGCATCCTCCTGATCCAAACGGCGAAGATCTCTGTTAGTTTCAGCTCAGCCTAGAAAGTCGGCCAAGTTCATGGGTTGCACAGAACTTCCGTGTAAAACCCAACGAGTCATCGTCCGGCTCAAAGGTCAATGGCTCGCCGCTGCCACCTGCCTGCCGCCTGGCTGCCGCCCCGGCTCGGTCTGACCTCTGCCCCCGTCTCCGCCTCCGGCAGGGGTGCAGGTGTTCAGCCGGCTGGCTCAGCTGTCGGACGTCACGGCGCCGGGCGTACCGTGGCGCACGTGGCGGCGGCTCGTGCTGCTACACCGGCAGCCGCCGCAGTGGCTCCAGTTTCTCGGTCGCTGGGGCAACCCGGCCGGCTGCTGGCACCTGTGGCGCTCGCTGTGCGCCAACAGTGGCGGGCCCACCGGCATCCCGCTCAAGGTGCCCGACTTCCAGTGTCCGACCAGCGGCGCCGGCCGCGCCCCGCGCTGGGGCCAGCTGCTGGCCAAGGGACGGTGAGCGGCCGCTGCTGGGGATGTGGAGCGAGCTGGAGACGCAGCTGCTGGATGGCAACGATGCCTGTGCCTCACGCTGAGTTCTCGGCCCAACTCTCTCAGCTGACTCCTGTGAGCGATCGGCCCACGCCCAGACGCGAATGCCTGTGCTTGGGGCCAAGTCGGAACCAGTGCTGAAAGCTCCGGGACGCCGGATATCGCGGTGCGGGGCACATCACTCGCGTCATCGCCAAAGAACCGTGCTCTGACTCGTAGCGACGAGTGACGCTGCGTCAGCGTGTAATGCTTCACAAGGCGTGATATTACGTCCATGTTACGTGTCAGGCAGGTTCTTCACGTACGGCAATGAGTCGTCAGCTGTGCGTACGTTGAGCCGTGGGCTACCACATGTGTGGAAGCTTTGTTCTAAGAAGAAACTGGTGTGCATTCAGTCCAGCAGTATTGTTTCCTCTGCAAACATGACTGTCTCATTTAGCAGATTATATCTTATGCGGGCACATGTCTTGCACATTCCGCCATGGCAGTCCTTCAATGTGTGGCCAGCCATGCGTGGTTGCAAAGCGTAGGCGCATTTGATAACCACCCGCGCATCATGGTGTGTTCTCATGCTGAAATTCCCATAGCTGGTTGTGACTGTCAAGTATACCCAGCGGTTTAAGGCTAGTTGCAACGACTTTACGGCAAGCGCATGCCATTCCGCATCATTACAAGATGACGATGAAATACCTTTACATCATCATCTATACCCTTTTTGCCATCATCTATACCTCATACCTTTACCTTTTTCGCCATCTTTCTCACGGATCTGTTCCCCGGAGTCCACATGGCGTCACACCAGATCGGAGCTGATGGCAGAGTGGGTGCGTGGACCTCGTTGGGCTTCGCTGCTCAGTTTAGCAGTATGACGAGGGACAGTCGATCGCGATTTCACCGGCACGTGATTTCAATTTGGTTGCTTGTTCTGTACAGTGGTGTTTGATGTGGTGGCTCCCTTCCGGCGCCACTGATGGCATGTATACCGGAAATAAGGAACAGAAGGTGCTTGTCTTCAGGGCTTGGGACTGAATTTAGTCAACAGAAATGTGCAAGAGAAGCCTGATTTCACGTGTTAAACACGAACGGACACAGAAATAAGGCGAAAAAATCGTTCTTTTTGCAATACGATATTTCTATGACATAAGCATGGGTTGTTTAATTTAATTCACAATAATTTTTAAGAGTGCTAAAAAAGCTATCCAAACCAAAACGAACCTACTTCAAGCTGTCAGAGCATCACACGTAAGTGAAGTTTGTCATCTTGTCCACATGTCCAGAACGCTCAAAAAAGTTAGGTTCTTATACCGAAAGATCACGTGGCAGCTGGTCATTTTTTATGCTTGAATTGGGTGTTTTATTCATGTTTCATCCGCGGTAATCTCTTAAAGCCCTTAGCATAGCCCTAGCTGGTCCATATACGGTCTCGGACATAATAAAGTATTGGCCGGGCATGGGCTTTAGTGGGCTTCGTCGGATTTTCATTGCTAGGGATACATAGTGGCACGTTCATTTGCCACAAGGTCTTACACTGTTTACGCGCTGTAATTTATGTCCCACTCTATGATTTTATTCGCAACGCGCAGTTGATAACAGAGCTCCTTGTAATCCGTTCAGCATGTCCCTCTCAAGCAAGCCGTCAAGCTCCGTCGAAGACGACTTGAGGGCCATGGTGGACTGCGATGAATCTGTGGATGACGACAGAACTCTGGGACCAAAGAAGGATGAAATTCTGAAAAGAGCACAGGACTGGCAAAGTGTGCCACCAGAGTTGGTAAGAACTTTCACCAAAGGTCGCAAGTCCGCCAGATGCCAACGGCGCGTCCCAAACGTATGGAGCTTCCCGAAAGCAGAGTGCTTACGCCATCAAACAGACAGCGCGACATGCCGATGCGGTGTCGGAAAGGGATTCACATTCTTCTTAGAAAACCTGGACAACAAGGAGTTCGCTTCCAATATAGATCCCGTCAACTTCTACGCTGACCCGAAGAAGCCACGAAATCCGGCAAAGAACATCGCCACGCTCATTCCCGCAGAGCTTCATGTTAAGAAGTACCAGCACACAGGCGGCCTGGAGTTGATCCAAGACGACTACACGGTCACCGCCGAGGACCACGCCGTCCATCAGACGAGCGTTCCCAGCCGGACGCCGGTGACCCGAGAGGAGGTCCTGCGGCTCAAAGACGTGTTCCGACGCCTGCTCCTCGAGGCCGGCATGGGAGAACACCTCTCCCAGACCGTTCTCGAGAAGAGAACCGACTCCGAGGTCGAGAAGCTTGTGGAGTTGGTGAGGGCGGAACAGGACGTTTACAACATCGTCTTCCACGAGATCATTCGCCAGGTCACGGTCGACTGCACGGAACGCGGGGAGATCTTGTCCGAACTAAGGGACTTCTACGCCAGATTGCTCAACCGGATACCCCAAATTGTCATGTCGATGCACGACGAGAACATCATACAGCGGTCCCTGGACAGACGACTCATGGAGGAGTTGCTGCACTTCAAGATTCGACTGGTGCAGGTGGTGCTCGGTCTGGACAATGTGCATCACATCTACGAGAAGACCAAGGGCAGAATGTGCACGGCCCAGGAGGAACTGAAGCATGCCCTCATTGAAGCGCAAAAGACTAGCGTGATTTCTGATCAGCTGCACGTCCTGTACAAGATGCAAAAAGAACGCCAGGAGCGTGAGGCCGCCTCCTACGAAATGCAGCGGGACTTTTGGAAAAACGCCAGCTGTGCGATCATCTCCAAGGTCGTCAACGTCTACAAACTTGGGCTGTTCCGGTTTCTGGCCACGGCCTTGGACACCTGGGCGCAATTGGGTCACAAGATCATGGAGGGGCGAGAGACCAAGGACAACGAGCAGCTCGAAGTAAACTTCTCCTTCCTGAAGGACTGGTCCGGCAAAGTCGACGACATCATGGCCTTCATGAACATCCGCGAGCAGCGGGTGTACAACTTTGCAGACAGCATGTGGCACAGCATGGATGAAGTGGCAAACCAGCTGAAGGCGGAAGTGAACCCCGACCCCGCAGAGTTTCTGGTCACTCCTTTCGAGGGTGGGAAGGCGGTGACGCTGCATAAGGCCCTGGTGCAGTGGAGCTCCAAGTTCACGGTCGACTTAGGCCAGGTTGATGACACCGTCGCCGGCGGCCCAAAGATCGAGAAGTATCTGGCGCGACTGGAGAGTGTTCGGGAGTCGTGGCGCTTCCACACCGAGTGTCACATCCTCCTGGCGATTCGCGACGACAACTTCCAGACCAAGGTGGGCGCCAACTTTCGCGAGCTGCTCGCCATGATGAAGGCGGCCCACCCACTGTTGGACGGGGCCTTCTACGCCGGCATCGACCCGGCCATCAACAAGACCGAGTTGGGCGTGCGCATGTGGGCCAAGCGCAACATCCGCGTTGGCGACCTCAGCCGCCTGCAGACGGACCTCGCCACGTGGTCCATGAGCCTGCAGCGCTCCTGCGACGCCAACGGCTACATGCTCTGGCAGAACAGCAATACCACGTACAATGTGGTGCGCGAGAAGCTAACGCAGCAGGTCGACCAGTACCGCGGCAGCGTCATCCAGTGCCTCACCGACTCGGTGCACGAGCGCAAGCTGGAGCTGGCCCTCATCCGCGACCTCGTGACGCAGTGGACTGTGGAGTGCCTAACGCTGGCGGCGCCGTACCACCCGACCGTGCCCGAGGAGGCGCGCCGTCTGATCGAGCAGACCGTGTCGGACGTGCGCGCGCTCGGCGTCCGTCAGCAGGAGATCAGCAGCCGACTGCGTACCGCCACCGACCACATGGAGCGCTCGTGGGAGATGGTGCAGCAGCAGGGCGGCTGCGCGTACGACAGCGCCGGCATCGACGCCGACACCCTGGCCGACATGTTCCGCGCCGAGTGCGACACCTGGTGCCAGCTGTCCGACACGTGCATGCAGAAGCTGAAGAGCGGGGAGATGTTCGAGTCGGACGTCACCACCAGGGACGTCGATGTCCAGACGGAGACGTCGGCGGTCGACCGGGCTACCATCACAGAACCGCTCTCCGAGTCAGTCAGCTGCGACTGGTCATGGCTCTCGGTCGGCGAAGGCGTCGAATACCCGTCCGGCTCTTCGCTCGCCATTCGGGATGAATCCAGCTGCGATGCCATGGCGCCCGCGCCCTCCCCGGCGGCGGACTCCGCCAGCGGGCGGATACCGCGCCTCTCGCTCGACACGTCCTGCGTGACGGGCTTCACAGCCGCGCCGCCGGCAGCGCGGAGGCGGCGGAGCTCCTTCGCGGCGGCGAGAGGCCGAAAAGCAAGTCTCGCGACGCCTAGCTCCTCCAAGCGCCTCAGTCTGGAGTCGGCAGTCGACGGGTCCCGTGCTCCAGTGGGCGGCGCTTCAGCCAGGCGACCCAGCGTCGGCTCGACAAGTGGCAGGTCTCGGGCCAAGCTCGCGCAGAGCTCCTCCAAACGTCTGAGTCCTCGCTCTTCGACCAGCAGGCGGTCGCAGGCAAGGCTAGCAGCCAGCTCTTCCAAACGCCTAAGCCCTCGCTCTTCGACCAGCGAGAGGTCACAGGCAAGGCTAGCAGCCAGCTCTTCCAAACGCCTAAGTCCTCGCTCCTCGACCAGCGAGCGGTCGGAGGCAAGGATAGCAGCCAGCTCTTCCAAACGCCTAAGCCCTCGCTCCTCGACCAGCGAGCGGTCGGAGGCAAGGATAGCAGCCAGCTCTTCCAAACGCCTAAGTCCCCGCTCCTCGACCAGCAGGCGGTCGCAGGCCAGACCGAGGCGCCGCTCGACCGCAGGCGGCAGCTCCCAGGGCCGACTGTCGCCCGGCTCCGCGGCCCGCCTGAGGCGCGGCTCCACCGCCGGCGGACGGTCGCCGGCGCGTCTCCCGCCCGGCTCGGCGTCGGCCCGCTCGCGCTCGCGGCGCCGCAGCTCGCCCCGCCGCGCGCGGCTGGCCGTGCCGCTGCCGGAGCCGCCGGAGCCGGAGCCGCCCGAGCCGCGGCCGCCCGGCGTGGACGTGGCCACGGCGGCCGATCTGCCGCCGCCGCCGCGGGCCCAGCACGCCGCGCAGACCACCTTCAGCGGCCAGCTGTTCAAGGTCACCTTCCCCGACTTCATGATCGAGATGTTCGCGCGCGAAATGCGCGAGTCCAACACCGGCGAGATGGTGGTGGCGACGGATGAGGAGCGCGAGCGCATGACAGCCCTGCAGCTACACATAGAGCAGGTGGCCGAGCTGCAGCAGCGGCTCGGCAAGCAACAGTGTCACGTGCAGAATCTGCAGGCGCATCTAGCCGGCGCCAAGGACGAGATTCAACAGCTGACGCACCAGCTCAACGCAGCCAGCATCAAGCTGCGCAACGCCAACGTCAAGCTGCAGCTGCTGGAGAATCGGAGTCCACCCCGGAGCTCCAGCAGCCACGAGCGAGCCGTCATCTGTGATATAGAGGTCGCGCTCACCCGACTCAAGGAGCAGGGCCCCACGCACAGCGCCGGCTGAACACCGCGAGCAGACGGACCTGATTTGAGTATGTCGTGTGCCTTACGCAGTACCTCTCGCTAACATGTGACTGATGTGCCGCTGATTCCCATATCACAGGCAGTCAAAGTCGTTTACGCCGCAAAAATGACAGGTACTCGACGTGTAGATGAGAAGCCGAGCTTCATTCAAGGGATCCGTGTCACGTCGTGCTGTGTATGGCGTATTGCTGTATGAATCAGAACAAGTACCAAGCATGGAAAACGACCGCCTGACCCTAAAACCAACTAGGGGTGCAAGTATGACCCGCCCGGAGATTGAATACCACGCTTTGGGGTGGGGGTCAATTGGAGGCCGCAAAAATTTCAGAAACCAGGAAAGCTGGAGACAAAATTTACAGATTGAATTGGCCTGTATGTGAAAATACTTGCGACAGTTTTTGAGGCTCATAGGTCATGACCTTAGGGTCAAACAGGGTCAAACAAGGTCAAACCCTAGATTGTTGTCCAAAATGTCTCCATACCACCTCATGCAACCGCCTTAAACACAGATGCCTGTTCCAAGCAAAAGGCCATGCGCCGATTTCAGGTCAGTGGCCTTGCTTGACATACAGAAGACCACGGTGACTGAAAACCTAGGAGATTGTTTTGATTTTGGGAATTGCGTAACCGTCGAGGATTACGCTAAGCAGTACGTTCACAAAAGCAAAATATTGATCTGGGCTATTTTAGGTCCGTGACCTCATATGACCTTAATGAAGTCTAAAAAACATCTGTTGTCATCCCTCTTACCGAGAAATTAGAAATGAACACCTGAAACTACCTCATAAAGCAAACTCTCCATGAAATTGTCGTTATCCTAAACCCAATTAGCTACTCGTGCAATTCAGCTGCCCACATGCCCAACAAATTACCTCAGAAATGCATGGCATCATCTAACACTCCACCGTCGCGTCATATTGAACGATTCGACAGGAATTGCCATTGCTGACAGACGATAGTGGTGACCTGCCTTAGGCCTGCCATATGCCAGCGACTTTACAAAGTATATCTAATTTGCATACCGAAAGATCTGCTATTCAACTGCCCACAGCTATGCAAAGTTCTGCGCGGCTTCCGCGCCAAACTTTTCTGCCGCGCCTTTCGAAAATCATTCTGAAAAACCTTTCGGGTTCAAATTGACCCCCCCCCCCCCACCCCCACTCCCACCCGAGCGCGCGTCAGCTTGAAGCGAGCTGTTCAACGCTACGTACCCCACAAGCTACATTCGCATCATTAACCAAAGAATGAACTTGCGATGATGTTATGCGTGCTGTGGAGGTAGACCGGTTCCATCTTCGGATTGCCTGAGCGGCATGGATGTATGGTAAGCGATCATGGCACGTGCACATCCACCTGGTTCAAAGCCTTGCCATGTGCGTTGGAGCTAAAGCGTCCCGGATTTGCATGGGTTACATGTGGAGACCTGTTGCCATGGGAATCACAATTCAGCTGCTTAAGGCACAGCTGGAAGTCCAATCGCGGTCGATGTTTTGCGCCGAGTGAGACCGCCTCTGCACACCACCCTGATTCTCGGGTGGAAGACGAAGGTCAGCATCTGTCCAGGTCAGTTGGGTGATTTGGTGCAGAACTGCTACGTAGCAAAGCACAAAGTCCAGCGTCCAAAAACAACAACGCCTGTAGCATCTCTCAGCTAGTCTTGCACGTGTCGGTTCAACCATCACTCGAGGCACGTCGCACGTCAGAATTACATTCCCACATTTTACGGCTGCTAATTATCATTAACTTAACATTTATTGAGCGAGCTGGTCACAATTATTGTACTAACACAGGAGTGCACGAGCTGAGACAGTACAATATGTTTTAATTTTTAACTGAGTGTTTCATGCCGCCTTAATGTCCACTCTCACCAGTCCTCACGGCTCACATGGATTATTCGCAATACGTTCACAAAAGACCGCTGTGCCCTTGCCATTCACGATAGCACTGATTCAAGGTCAAATACACCTGTAACCAAAATACAGAGCAAAATAATATGCGCGGTATGCCACGTAATGTATGCCATTAATTCCCAGCAACGTGATGCACAGATTTTCGCATGCGGTTCCGGACACCCCGGAGAACCGCACACTTCATAAACCACCATTCTTCCCAACTCACGCTGCAGTAGCTTCAAGCTTATGATGCCCACGTGACACTTGATATCAATGTGATCCTGAAGCGCAAACCCTTTCTATAAAACCCACGCTACATACCATCGAATAAACACGTGAGGAGTAGGTTCCAATCACTCGCCACCTCTATAGAACCCATGTAAACTCGTCCACATGCAGCGCAGCAGGGCAGGAGCTGGCGGAGACCGCCCTCAGGCACTGCGCCGCTCACTCAGCTGGGCCGCAGCACGAGGCGAGGGTCGAGCACGGTCCAGAGGGCCAGGCCGCTGGAGGCGACGCCGCAGAGGCCGACGGCGGCCGGCGAGAGCGGCAGGTACCCGAGCGCGGCCAGCGGCAGCACCATCTCGCACGCGTTCTTGAGCGTGTCGACGGCCAGGTCGCGGTGCCGGTCGAGCAGCAGCAGCAGCGGCCGGCCGCCGACCGGCGGCAGCAGGCGGCGCCGCTCGAACGGCAGCCCGTGCTCGGCGTACCCCTCGGCCGCCCGCCACAGGTCGTACGCGTCCCGACACAGAGCCATCGTCACACTGCAACGACACCACACCGGCGTCGGCAGCGCTTCACGTGCGGCACGCGGCCGGCGACTCTGGGCGCGAGGCGGCGCGTCCCAAGCGCTGAACGGTAAACGGAGACAGCTTGTACCTCGATTTCACAGGACCGTGTCGCGGTAGATGCGTAACCAATCTCCAATTAGGGTCCAAATGACCCTTGTTTGCCCACAAGATGCTGTCACATCTCATCACTTTCATCCCTCCTGAACCTCCCTGAAGAACCTATGCGCACAAACCCAGCGCAATGCCCGTGGAACACCCTGACGGGATCAGGGTGCCGCGCTCAGCGAGCCGACAAGGGCAACACGCGCTCGACACCCGCCAGGCCGTGAGCGCGCCTCACCTGTACAGCCAGCAGCGGTAGTAGACCTGCTCCCACTTGCGCACGTTAATGCGCACGAGCCGGGCACGGCTAAGCCAGAGCAGGTGGTCGGCCAGCAGGAAGAGTGACTGTGCGATGCGGCCGAGCGTCAGCGTCAGCCGGTACACAGGGTCCAAGAGGCGCAGCGTGCGCGCCGTGCCGCGTAGCACCTCGGCGCTCTTGCCCAGCCGAAGCACTGACGGGCGGGACAGCGGTGAGCGACGCTGCGGTGTGGCGCGAGCTCGGCGCCTCTCCGGCGCGGAGCAGACGGCCCACGTGGCACGTGGACAGAGTCTGACAGGATGGGGTACAGGTGGACGCTAGCGGGGGTGGCGGGGATCAGGTACATGTCCGGTTAGGTAGGGTAGATTAGATCAGAACGATCACATCAAGTATGATGTGCCTGGTCTGTCATCCGTTTAACGTTTTTTATGGTCGTTGAATGGGCTCCAAAATACGAATCCCTGGAGCAGTGAGCACTCTACTGCGATAGAAATAAAATATGTCGGTAGAGTACAGGCGACTTGGCTCCCTGGTACAAGACACCCGAGTACAAGCCAATGACTTACACTTACCCTTTGTAATGACAGCCCTATTCAAAATGCACTGAAATAAAATAACTTGTACATACCAAAACGAACCCCTTCCTCGACATGGTGAATATCAATCAAACTTCTCTTTGATCAAGTAAACCCATCACTAAACAGCTTTGGTGAATAGAGAAAAAATCTTACATTTCCTGAATGAGCTGATGTTGTTTTCCAGCTCTTTCCATTTGTTAATAGGACCAGTGCCCCCATCTTGCCGCTGGATGTAGTGATTCACAACTTTCAGAGTATACTGCAGAACTCTGAAAATATACACATTAATACAATTGCAACATGCCACACGAATGGCAAGCATGTGAGGGACATGGCATCCGTTGATGATGGTGCTGGTGACTGTTTAAACTGTCATACAGTTTGTATTGATTGAAAGAAGATGTCATTCAGCCACAGTTGCCACCACATCTACCAGCCACTGGCCGAGCATGGACTGCCTGCCATAGGTCAGCACTACAAGATCGGTGAGCAAAATATTGAGGAGCTTTTGTGGGCAGCCCCCATCAGCCACAGTCACGCGTGCTCTGTGTTGCCCACATACGAATTGCACGCGGTCACGCGGTTGGAGGGAATCAAAGGGCTAGCACATCACTGAAGGACAAAATATCGCGGGACAATCATAACTCTGGAGTGGGTTGCTTCCGTCGGGCTGTACGTCGGGCCTTTGTCAGGTTGCTTCCGTTGAGCTGTACGTCGGGCCTTTGTCGGGTTGCCTCCGTCGAGCTGTATGTCAGGCGTATGTCGGGTTGCTTCTGTCGAGCTGTACGTCGGGCCTTTGTCGGGTTGTTTCCGTCGAGCTGTACGTCGGGCGTATGTCGGGTTGCTTCTGTCGAGCTGCACGTCGAACCTTTGTCGGGTTGCTTCCGTCGAGCTGTACGTCGGGCATATGTCGGATTAATTCTGTCGAGCTGTATGTTGGGTGTATGTCGGGTTACTTACCTCAGGAGCTTATCCTTTCCAACTGTACTGCCATTCAGTTTGACCCAGGTATCCATTAGCTTTGTGGGTAAACTTTCTCACTGACTGAAGCTGCTCTGCAAAGATAAAATGTGTGGTTAAGTTTTCTCCTGGGTCCTTGGCTCACTGAGGCAAAAATTTGAAACACAAAGCACAAAATGTGATTAAGCTGTGAATAACTGATTAGCACAAAGCCACAGTCAAGACTATATGCAACCAGACTTTTGGCCTCCCTACAGCCTATATGTCCATGTGTCTATGTGCTTGCATCTTAAAGCCAGAATCCTGTTCCTGGCATTTACTCCACACTGATGGCATGCTGGTGGAATGAGCCACGCCCTTCCGATAGGCCTGACCGTTTATGCAGTTCCATGGCAAGCATTTATGCACAATACTGACATACCAGGAAACAGCAACTCTGAGTGATACATTAACCTATCAGCAGTATGTATTCAAGTTGATCTTCAAAGTCCCATCTCCCAACACTGCAAAAAATACATGTTTTGCCATAAATCCAAGACCTGGGTTTGACTCCATCACCACAGATTTCAGAGCACTTCAAACCAATGATTCAAGGAATCAATGTGTTGCCTACATAACTGAAGGTAATAATAAATACAAACACAAATAAATGCAAAATAATTTCAAAATTTGGCACACTTTGGCTGGGCCTGAGCTTGGTACATACATGAGGCTTAGTGCACAAACACTATGTAGGTATAGAACACAGAGGAAAATTCTTGCAGGCTGCCCTTCTGGGGTTAACACATCTATCATAACACAATTTGTCTTTCATACACATTACTTTCCCACATCAAAGGGCATTCATCAGATGTCAACTTTCCCATGACTCATTATGAAGATAGCATGCAAAGCAAGTAAATGGTAGGTTCAAATTCACCAAAAAGATGATAAACACACTCAATCATTTCAATATTTACGTGGTGCACCAAGCAAGAGGCATACACAGGCACCTAGGCACCACCGCGATGACATAAAATTCAGCATTGCAGGTTGTCTAAGTAACTTCATTGCGCTTTCTATCTCACTTCTACAAAGTCTTAACTTCAGCCCCATAGTCTATAGTCCTAGACAAAATCTGCCTTATTGCCCACTTAAGCTTGATTAACGGTGCCTCGGGCAATCTCCATCATTATCGTCTCACGTAAATTGCAGTGCGGACCATCACCACGGCCCTTCCCATTACTGGCATCAAGGCGAATCTATATGGCCTTCATTACTGTTATGAAACATGTGCGCCATTGATGTCTAAGATGCTGTTTTGAGTGAACAGCACTAATTTTGAGCCTGCTTATCGCCCATTCTCCAACGGCTAAATCCAATTTTTATACAGCGACATCGCCTCAGTGGCAGAGACTTTCAAGTAGCCCTGCGTGGACATCAAAAGCCTCCGCTCCCCAATTATCAATCGTTGCAGAAAGCGGTGCCACTCCATGCATATTTGGACAACGGCAGGACCCAAGATTACAGGTCACAGAACCCCAATAACTTAATATTTCATCGTCATACTTAGGTTACGTTTATGATAATGCATTTGAAGGACGACTTGAAACCTTGAAATCACGGCTAGAGCCCCCAATCACGCTTTGCAAGACGCCTCAGACTGCATTTGTGCTCAACTTTCAACGCCCTCCAGGGGGATCGGCTCCATTTCAAGCAAATATTTCGCATGCCTTTGAAATGACTGTTGGTCACGATTTTGTAGCACCGTGTTTGCCAAAAACGCTTTCCGATGAACTGTTTCCACATCAATCAACCAACTTGTATTTCAGAGAGCAGTCTTCAACCCCAGATCCCATCGACCTGAAATATTGCCAATTTTCGCGATCGAGATCCATATAAATTTGCTGTGAACAGGTGAGCAATCTGCTATATACGCAATTCCTCGTCCCAGACGTTCATATGAAAGTGCATCACTTCAAACTATTAGAGTTCAACAGCTCATCCGAAATCTTCAACGCATATGATGGCAAACACCTGTCATAGCAGAACAGGACGACATCCGCGCCAGTACATCCGGAACTTTTAAGCTGGCCAACGTACGAATCATTCGAGTCACATCTTTCTCCAGCAACAAGACACGAGTCCCCACCATCTAGACAATAGACAAATATTGCACTGATATGAGCATCGCCCAGCAGTTTGCAGTCAATTATTCATCCATGTTGTGAACAATGTATTAGTCTTGAGCATTTCCTCAACACCGAAGGAATATTCCGCGTAGCAGCACCGCTAAGTTAACTGAAAGTAACCGCAGCTTCTATTCGCATGACTTCCACTACCGGCTATGCTACCCATGCAATATTCGACCTCGACGCCCGTGCAATTCAAAAGATATTCTGGTATGATGCCCGCGTCCTTTGCTTTTGTGATGGAGGTTAGAAAAACGGTGGGCGGTTCCTCCGTTTCAGCACAGTTGTGGAAGACTGAAATATTGTCTTACACCCCTTTTGGGCTGTCAAAATTTTGGATAACAATGTTCCGACGTATAACTTGCAGCAACAACTGTTGAGGCAGTGCACTTGGCCACAGGCAGAATAAGCCAAAATATTTTACAACAATGTCTCAAACGCTCTTGAAACGATTCACGAAAAAAATCTGGAAAATTGTCTGTCTGTCTACCTCTGCTGGAGCTTCTGAAACTGCCTACCTCAGGCTCCCCACGTAAAGATGAAACATCGGGCGTGAGGTGGGACATCCGCATTTTTCAACAGATCACATCAACTTATTTCACGCGCGCGCCAAAAATCACGCATAATATATCCGCAACAATGGTACCCCAAAACGACTTCAGGCAACATGTAAACCTCGCAGAAACTCCACGCAACGTCCAATTGCCAGCTCTCAAATAAATGTGAGCTGCGGCCAATGGCCACCATATTAGCTGTAATCGAAGGGACATCCTCCCTATCAAGTAATCCGGACGACGATCTCACTCAGCTGACAACACCCGCCGCTGCAACTCTGAACACTAGCCATTCGATCCGCCGCAGAGCACCAATGACGTCACGGCGGCAGCGCCCAGGCCCAGCTGAGCCGACCTAGCTCTTCTCCACCCCCACTTTGATGTGAGCGATCTGGCCCGACTGATCTGAGACAGACGCCTCGATGACGTCACCGGGACGGACGGGGCCGACGCCGGCTGGCGTGCCGGTGAGCACCAGGTCGCCAGGCTCTAGCGTTATGTACCTGCCGCCCGGGGAAACCGCTGTCAGCATGGCGAACACCGAACATGAGGCAGCGCATCTGCCGCGTTCGTGACTGCGCCTGCACAAGCGTACACGCCTAACATAAACAAACCAAGCCGCACGGATTGATTGGGCGCGCCCGCAGCGGACTCTGTTCAGCCCTGATGGCCGCGCTGTTCAGCGAGCCGTGGCCTGACCCACCGGCTGATGTAGCTCAGCAGGAAGGGCACGCTGAAGTGCATGTCGGACGTGCTGCCGGACTGGCGCGTCTCGCCGTTCACGGCGCACCACAGCTGCAGACCGGAAGCGTCGGGTATCCGGTCGCGCGGCACGAACGCCGACACTGGGCAGGCCGTGTCGAAGCACTTGGCCATCGTCCACGGGTGGCCCTTGGCCTTGGCCTCGGTCTGCCGGGCGTCAGAACAGGCGGTCAGTCCCCCGATCCGGGCGGGCGCAGCCGCCTTGGGCACAAGAGACGTGCAAACCTGCCTGTGAATGCTGATCCTCCCAACAGCGGCTTTCACAGGAACCACACCAGGAGAGAATAAGCGTCCTAAAAATATCTACTTCCCATAGCCAAACCCATCGCCATTCACGTAAATCTGCCTGGCGGAAAAGCTAATAAGAAGTACCTGCAAACTTTTACGCGAGGAGCACATAGCTGGCGAGCGTCAGAAGCGCAGTGTCTGTACCTGGAAGTCCCTGGCCGTCATGTCCAGGGCAAGGGCGTACCCGGCTACATGCTGCATGGCCGCGCTTTCCGACACCCGGCGGCACGTGCTCGAGACGACCACGCCCAGCTCCACTTCGTGATGTAACTCCGAGCAGCCAGGAGGAATCTAACACACGCGGCACACGAGGTCAGCATGACCGTTACGAAAGGACAAGCAGGACAGCAAGCGCCGATATTTGATAACCTACGCTATTTCATGAAGATTATACATTTAAGCTTTTCATCACAGTCAGCCATTCCTACCGTCACAGCCATGCCTGTGCTTGACTTCAGGTTGCGTTCCAATCGACTCCCTGCCCGGGATCAGCCAAATCTGCATTGAGTCAGGTTGGAACTTACTCATTTAAGATGTTCTGCTGCACTTGAATTGGGGTGGGGGTCAACGAGTCGTCGGCGTGTCGACTCAAATAACAGCAGGAAGGCAAGCTCCACATGGCATACTTACAGGCAGTCTTTATGTGGACCAAATGGGTTACTAGCGCCCAATGGGTTACTAGGGGGAGCTCCTCCCATCCCCCCATTCAGCCAGCTGTTAGAGATGACACAAACCCATGGATTGCGACGAGGCCAGCTTGTGGAAGATGCGTTAAGCTGAAGCCTACTCCAAAGTGATTGGAGAAAAATTGCAGCTTCGCGACAGCCGCACCCGAAACCGAAGCCAGTTTTGTACTCATGTCGGCCTACCTCGTCGATGAAGTCAACATTTTGCACTCGAGGCTGGTTTATCAAAGGTGTGGGAATCAGCACTTTCTGATGGATGACTTGAATCCCTTGTATGTTGGACAGTCTCAAGACAACTGTGTTTATATATATATATATATATATATATATATATACACATGTTAGGTTCCAGGATATTCTTATTCATTTGTTATTTTATTGCTGCAAAATTTTCGCATTAGGCAGCACCAATTATTCTATAAATTTGATTTTTGGCAAGCAAATTTTTTGATGATCAAATACATCTGTGTAGGTAATGTGCAGTTTATAGAGCATAGCTGTCCCATGACTGCCTGGTATATATATATATATATATATATATATATATATATATATATATATATATAACCTGATTATCTATATAACCAGCATTTCAATAGCTCTAATGCATTCATAAAGGAGAGCATATTTATGAGACTTCATCCAACATGCATTCAGCTAGTTGATTTGGTGACACACCAGCTGAAGACATGTCACTCACCAGTATGTTGCCAGAGATCAAGTATGAAGAAGTTGGTTTCAAGAACAGCAGTGGTTTTTCAGGCATCTTGTTCCCCAGTTCAGCAGCATGCTCCCTGAAAGAAAAATTTCACCTCACTTGATCACAAGGATATGCTATGTTGCAGACCTACTTTAACACAAAAAAATGAATTATCCCTGGCTGGATAAACTTCAGGAAACCTGATGCTTTAACAGTCTAAATTCTTAAAAAATAACTGTGTAACAAAGACATCTGATAAGATGGTTAACTGTATGTGATGAACAATGTTAATGGAAAACAAAACTGTGCTAAATATTTTTAATTGGGTGTATTGTCATGTGGAAACTATAATGCCTCTATGAGACAGATGGTAAAAAATCTCAAGGCATAAAATATGCACACATAAACATAGTTGACCATGATCAATACAAAATGCTAAAATGTTTGTTCACTTGTCAAATCTCATGTGCTGATTTAGGCAGGAAAGATATCACTACATGCATGCTACTTGCACCCAAAATCATACAGTATTGTTTACTAGAAAATGGACATCTTAACCAGATGATTTTCAGCTTTTCCTATCCTATGCATTCTTATAGAGCATGTTTTACTCTCCTGGGGTTTGTACCAAGGAAGTCAGCTTGTATCTAATAAGACATCTTTGCAGCCAATTTTATTAAGGCCTAAATATCTCCAGCTCCCAAAGTACCATTTCATACATAATTCAACACTGTGCTATGGTCAGGGTGTACTTTCCTCCCTAATGTTAGAAAAAATCATTGTACACCATTTGTCGTGTTTAAGGCAGGACATATCGTAAATAATCTCAAAACAGGTAGAATCATGCTCCTACCTTCGAATTTCAATAACTTCGATGGCGGGCTCCCGAGCGCCGCGCGCACCGCACCGCCTGGACTCCCCAGCGCCGTTTCTGCGTTGCCGTTGCGTAAATACAATATTTCTGCTTACCAAGAACTCTACAAAATGTACGGGACCAAGGTAAACCATTCGTCGCGTTTAGGGCAGGACATATCGTAAATAATCACAAAACAGGTAGATTCATGATCTTACCTTCAATTTTTTATCATTACGACGGCGAGCTCCCGAGCGCCGCACACACACACACAGCACCCGCGACACCGGCGCCATTACTGCGCGGGTCACAACATTACTGCGCATCAAGCAGCATCAAGAACCATAAAAATTATTTACGCAACGGCAACGCAGAAACAGCGCTGGGGAGTCCAGGCGGTGCGGTGCGACAGCGCCCGGGAGCCCGCCATCGAAGTTATTGAAATTCGAAGGTAGGAGCATGATTCTACCTGTTTTGAGATTATTTACAATATGTGCTGCCTTAAACATGACGAATGGTGTGCAATGATTTTTTCTAACGTTAGGTAGGAAAGTACACCTACACCTTGTGCTATGAACAGCAAGATCACCATGCCAAAAATAACTGCACCAACAATTGACAACCTGGTTACCTATTACCCATTAAAGTTCACTGATTGTTGACTTCCACTTGCTTTATATGACTCTTTGAAGACCTAACAAAATTACTGGCATGAGCATGCATTGGATGTGATGTTCATCTATATTCCATCCCCTTTGTTTGTCCTTTGGGTGCAACATCATTTTTCAGTTGTAATATGGCACCAAAATTTATTACATTGTAGGCACTTACTTATAGTTTCTTCCAACTGCAACAATCTTTCTCCCAACTTCTGTGAAGCGCGCAAAACTGGACATGTCTGCACGGTCTTCTAATTTCTGAGTTCTGCAATCAGTGTGGGGTAAGACAGCACACATCCAAGTAAATGGAAGGTACTAAACACAACAAAATTGATTGATGAAAGCTGATACTGCATCTCCTGCAAGGAAAAAGATGAATGATTCAGCAAATAATGTCAAGCTGCATGTTGAAAGCATATGATATTTTACTTCTACATGCAAGGACAAATGAAACATGATGGAGGGTAAAGGCTGTACAGTTTAGCACATAACGCGAGGACCCCTATACTAGAGCTTGTAATGTTGCGAACCATTCATGGGTGCGATAATTCAGGCAGGTGACAATAACCAGATAATGGGGAGCAGAAACAAGTACAAGTGCGTGGCTAGCACAAAGCAGCGCCCACATTATGTGACATTTGGAAGAAGTCGACAGCGCAATACATCAGGGATTCATGTGAGATTCATACAGCGGTTTGGATCTAGAAGAACCTTACTCGCAGTAACAATATAACTCCCACACGCCTCCCAGACCAGACAACGTGCATCGCCTGATGGAAAACAAATCGGATATAAATGTCTTTAGTACACCATGATCGCTACCAAAGACTGCAACCAACTTAGATGGCTACTTGGGCTAAATTTGTATTGAAAAGATTATAAGCGTAGTCGGAATAATCTATGTGTAGTTATACTGCCAGCTATACATCTTTGACTATTCACAAGTGCCATTACTACACCGTTTCTTAATATGGGTCAGTCAGAATGCAAAATTTGATATCATCTGCAAATTAAATCTTCGGTTGAGGCCGATTAAGTACCTATGTAGAATGACTGAAGCTCTATCTTTTATTTATGAATAACCCTTCTTGAGTTGAAACTGAAACCTCAAAGGTGCCCTTCTTCAAGCAACATAAAACGTTTGGTGTCTTAGTATATTTTGTTTGACATATTTTATCCTCCAGCATTTATTTTACCTGTCCTTACTCATTGATTCAGTTGACCTTAGAACCATTACGTGGGTGGAGCTGGAGCCCTATCTCCGTGCGGGAATTTACTGCAGCAATACAGGATTGCAGCTTGCCACAGCCGAAGTAAGTGGGCATGCTGCGTGAGGCCGTATTGTTCGATGGTTGCGCTGAAGCGCGCCCGGCTCGCCCGGGGATGTTACGTTGGGATGTAGATGGACAATAATACCGCTAACTGCGTTTGGTCGACAGGGCTACAACCTCGTATCTCGTTCCATCGTACGTCGAACTCCGTGCCCAAATCTTCGTATCACGACTGTTCGCGCGTAAAACTGGCTTCACAAACATCCGTTTAGCAAGCACTCCCATATAAGGATGCGCAAACTCTTCAGTAAATAGTTTTTCAAACTCAAATCGTGAACGTTTTTTGTGTCACACTTTTGGGAAACGCAATTTTGCGTACGTGTTGATACTAGTCTCGCAGTTTTCCCGTGAACGGATCCTATTGCCATCTGCAAGTTTTCGCATAGCAGTGATCGTCGTTGTTCTGTGCCAAGCTTGTAACGTATTAGATTTGTTCAGCCCACACGAAATTATTTTGCTTCTCACCTCTGCAGCTGTTCATTTATCATTTCTTCGCCGATGACATCCCTCGCATCTCATTTCTTCATATAAGCAACTCACGGTAGTGCATAATTCAACGGTATTATCTCATGGGCGCGAAAACTATCGGAATGTGGAGCCGGTTTGCGGGCTTGGAAGCTCAATCCCCCACCATTTGTGGATATTTAGCGACATGCGTGAGGCGAGGCATGGAAAGAAACGGATCGAAATCACTCCGACTCCCAGCCCTCAACCGATTTTGAACTAGCCCTCGCACTCCTAAACCATGGCGTCTAGGCATGGGGGTCGATTCGTTTGGCAACTGGCCGTTTCTGCGGCAGAGAATTTGCGCACGTTACTTTGGCACTCAGTTAGTAGGGAGAAACTCAAATTATCCGAGTATCCACGACGCGTTCATAATCTTCAGGTTCTGGAAGTGTATAGGCACGAATGGAGGACACCGAGAGTTTCCTATAGTAGGACATAACCCAGTGTGTAAATTTTTGTATTACGTATCAAGGAAAGTTCTTGCTCGCTGGCTTAGCCATGCATTGGTAAGGGGCAAATGAGCTCCACTTCATTACCCGCCGTTCGCTTGCAGTCGCTTACTTGTAATCGCTTACAGTTGTTAGATCATCAATGTACGCATCGACATAATCGCGGTCTGTTTTTGTTTTGGTAGCATTTATATAGTCAACACAAAAAATCCGATCTGTCAAAAGGCTACTGAAGTCTTCCCGGGTCATCGCCTCTGATCCTCACTGACATAAGGGCCATTGCCACGCTCCGTTCGGTTTTCTGGACGTATCTCACAAGTATTGAAATCTGGGAGAGCTATACTTGTTTTCTAAAATTGAGGGCTCGTATTACTTCTTACCTTTCACATCAGGTTACAGTATCCTTTCAGGTTACGGACCTGTGAATTCGTTTTCCCAACTGTACACGGCGAAAGTGAAAAAACACGTTGTACGACACACCATTACTTGTATGTACCAGATCGTCCTTTTTAGTGCTTCCGATGGTGTGCACACGTCGCTGATGTTTGTCTTCTTAGTTAAGGTCAGTGGAGGTAACAGTCACGTCGGGTCAAAGTCTGAAAATTATGCTACAAACCTGCAAGCTTTCTATGAATAATCCCTTCAACCAATATAAGTGGATCTATCCAAGGTGGTGAACGGACATTTTACGGCCAAGATCCTGTCGCGATGCTATCACATTGCTATCACACTTCTTACAGATAACCGATATCACTATCATGCATGAAGATCGTTCATTCAAGGCTGTGGCAAATGAAGGTCATGAGGTCATTCAATAACACAAATGGACTCACTGAATTCCTTTGGTGTATTTATGGCGTGCTTTGACTTGTGCCAGCTTTTCTATGGTAACGTATGGAAATCTGCTCAGGAGCGACAAAAGCCTTGCCCGACTCTGCTCGCTCCCATAAACCAGATCAGCCTAACAGTTGCTGCAAATAGCCTATGTTAAAAGGGCTAACTATGTGAGGGGTCACCGCTCTCCGTTCATTTTTATTTTTGCTCTGAAAAAAACTGGAGATTTAATTAGCAAGCGAGACGTTTTACCCTCCACTTTTCAGTCAAACATGACAAAATCTCGGTGTCCTGGATGGCTACGTCCAATAAGCGTGCCTGACCATCATGGACACAAATTGGTGATCCGCGTCATTTTTAGATGGAAAGAAATTCAAGGTAAAGTACACCAGATATAAAGCGCACCAGAAGTACTAAATCTCCAAAGTAATATTTTTAAGCCCTCGTGCAGCATGCGTCTCCTCATCCTTGTGCATGGAACTTGACTGATCTTCGTTACCTGCCGGGTGATGTAAGGTAACTGCGCTCATCGCTCCGCGTGGATTGATTGGTTTAATTACACCTCACGTACGACTATGCCTCGTATAACAAACCTGTTTCGAAAATTCAGGTCGATCATGGAAAGGGAATGTCCCTCGATCGCGATTATTGCCTGCTGCCATCGGTAAGTGGAACGCTCATTGATTTATCACTGCAGTTCATCACTGGTGATTGCGTGCCGTAAAACCCCTGTCCATACTAAAATACCTTCACTCCGAGTTCACGCTTGGACTATGCCGAAACGTGGCGGGAGATAAAGAACGTGTCCGCGGCAAGTGTGGTTTTTCTACTTTTATGTAGAGCAAATGGTCAACCGATATCCTGTCGTTACCTGTCTGAGCATCAGGAGGTAATCACATTGAACTGACGTAAGGGATACAGAACCGTTACAGCGACATCTTGCGGAACATTTCGCAACATTTACGTTACTTGTATTCGCCTTCACTAGCGCTAGCGATGCACAGAGTATATGACAAAACGCTCGACGTCAACGTCTGGCGTTCCGATATAGTTGTCATGAAATGCTTATATATATATATATATATATATATATATAATATTTACTGACGTGCAGTAGAGATGGTCGTCGTTTGATAATATCGCGTTCGTCATCAGTTCTCTTTGCGGTGGGATATTTCTGAAACTTTTTGCCGTAACATGATCCTCGCACTGCGGAAAGTGGCACACTGACTGTTCCAGAGTTGTGGCGGTTATTTTATGAACGCGAGTCATCAGTGAGCCGAAGCAGACAGTGCAATGGTAGTGTTACCCATTTTTTCCTTGCAACATCACCGAGGGAAGGTGAAAGATCGGGTGTTGGGAGATACGCCCCCCTGTTTGTCCATAGCAGTCCCACTGCCGCACCAATGCTGTCATGGGGCATTCGAGACGCCCAGTATTAGGTAAATCATAGACATGTACACGTCACAGTCGTCGGCTGTTCAGGCGCTGCCGGAAGGGGGGTGGTCCCCCTCCCCTGCTTAGGTTCGTATTTTATGTTACCATAATACGCTGTCACTGAGCTCTTCCCCCTTCTCCCCATTCCCTCCTTTCATCCTTCTACAATTTCCTGGCTGCGCCCCTGGTCGTTTGTGAACTGCAAAGTGCTGAAATACAAGAGAGGCCCCCAGTCATATATGACGGGCCATGCCTGTCATGCTTGCAAGGCGCATGGAAAAGGTTTAAATGCATAACGTACTTCCAGTCGACTTTTGAGAGCTCATGCGCACCCACTTAGCTCACGTGAAGGCATACTGGTCTGGCTGTTATGGGACCTTGGGCTGTCACGCGGAAGCATGAGCTCGAATGTCGGTTGTGCCATGGCCCGGGAGGCGCTAGGCAGCGTGGCCACAATATTATTTGACGTTCCACTTAGGCGCTCCCAGCGACGCGCACTTAGTTCCTTTGAAAAGACACCACGTCCTGGTCCGCGGCGCCGCTGCACGGCCTGGACTGCGGAGTGGCGGGTCCACGCCAGCCGCCGCCGCCCGGTCTGACTGACGCTATGCCGTGTCGGCAGGGTGCGGCCGGATAGTCGGGTTCGGGAGGCGCGGCCGCGTCCGGGGTGCTGTGCCGCCGGCAGCCGCGCGCCGCCGGCCGACCGCCGACCGACCGCAGCCATGACTAAGGTGATGCAGGTGCTGCTGGTGCGCCACCTGGCCGCCGTCACCGTGCTGCTGCCGCTCTGCGCGCTGGCCATCTGCTTCGCCCTGTCCCTCTATCTCCACTTCGATGTCGTCAACCGCACGCACTGCCTCGTCTATAACTTCTTTCCGTCCGTGTCGTCGGCGGCGGGCAAGTTCTCGCCGCAGAAGTTCATCTGGCGCGCGCTGCTGGCGCTGCACCTGGCGCCGCGCTTCCTGCTCGGCTACCTGACGGCCGGCTACCTGGCGCGCGTGCTGCGCCCCACCGTCGGCTGCCGGCGGCTGGCGCGCCTCTGCTCGGCGCTCTACCTGCTGGAGCAAGCCGGCCTGGTCGGCGTGGCCTTCGTCGGCTCGCTGGAGCACTACTCGCTGCACGCGTGCTCGTTCGTCGTCTTCCTGGTGGCGTCGGAGGCGCATATGGTGCTGCTGACGGCGCTGCTGGCGCGCGGCCGCGCCACACCGCCCTCGCGCCACGAGCGCCGCTCGTTCCGCTGGAAGCTGCGCCTGCTGCTGTGTAATGCGGTATGCCTGGCCAACGCTGTGTACCTGTTCGTGCGACACAACACGCACTGCGAGCCGGGCGTCTACTCGCTGTTTGCCATCTTTGAAATATGCTTGGTGCTGTCCAATATGGCCTTCCACTTCACCTCTTACTGGGATTTCTATGATTTGCAGTTATGTGTTGGCAGTGTTAGTCAAGACTAGCGTTGTCCCGTCCGCGCACGCTGCCGTAACTCTAGAACATTATTACGCTTAGCTAATTACAGGGAGGATTCCGATTCTTGGATGTAGGCATAGTACGAGTTCAGTCCAGAGCAGCGACCACCAACTCGAGAGAGTGTATTGATTTGTGGGCTGGGGAGAAGCAGAGTCTTGATGTGGTCAAAAATAGCCTTAAACTCTTCGTCTCCGGACACTGTTCAATAGTAATGACACATTCACGACTCGAATTGAATCTATTTTCAATTTGACTTCCCTGAGATATCAAACAATAAGGAGGTTAGAGGCACCAAATTCATAGGGTAGGTCTGTCTATGTAAGCTTACTTTTGTCAAAATTGGAGGGTCCTAGGTCATGACCTTCGGGTCGAATAAGATCAAACAAAGGCACACGTCAGATTGGCGTCCAAAGTGTCCCAGACCTCTTCATGCAACCGCCTTGAACTTGACATTTGTTGTAAGCAAAATGCCACTGATCTTCATCGAAGACCAGTGACCTATCTTGACCTTTAGAAGGTCATGGTGACCAAAATCATGCGAGAATGTTTTGATTTTTGCATCTGAAAAAGCGTCAAGGAATACGCTACGCGGTATGTTCCTAAGAAGCAATATGTTGACCTTGGTCGTTTTGGGTCACCGACCTACTCTGACCTTTAAGAAGTTCACCGATAATGTCTGTTGCGGTCCCTGTCATTATGAATTCGAAATAAGCACCAGAAATACCCCACGCCGCAACCTCTCGAGTAAATAAGCAGGCAGGCTTAACCTCGGTATGGCCCACATACCGGACACTAGGTCAATGGAATTTGTCGCAGGTAATAATATTTTGCTGCATAAGAATCTCTTTCAGAGATGCCTGGTTTCGACTAACACGCTGTTGTTCTATCAGATTAACGTTTCCGTAGAAACTGCCTACGCTGAAAGTCGTGACCTTATTTTGACCTGCCATTGGTCAGCAACCTGACAAGACACATATAATTTGTACGGCAAAATATTCACCATTCAGTTGATGATAACTATGCAAAGTTTGGCGCAACCACGCCCCGCCGCCCGGAAGTGATTCCGGAAAACCTTCGGGGCATCAAATTGACCCCCGCCTGGTCGCGTGTTATGCGCGTGGCACGCTTTTCCTTTCCATATGCTCTCCTAGACCCACCAGATATGTGCAGTCAGCTGTTCCCGTGTGTCTGATGCGTCATAGTCCATGGCATGCAATACTGAAGGTCTTTCCTCGTCCGGGCCTTCCTGAATCTACTCCCGCTGAGTCAGGAGGACGTCTTGTTGCAGTGGCACGTGTGTACTGTTCCGGCTGCACTGACGTAGTTTGTTGAATATTAGCTGTGTGTGGCAGCATCGGGTTTGTGCATGATCCGTCCCTGGCTTGTATGTGTTGCGTACAGAGCCACTGTACTGGCATACTCCTTCGGCTGTTCTATGTGCAAGAACGTGGTTTGTCCTCCACATGACAAGGTCATCGTTCAGAACATCATTGCGTTAAGGCCCTCCTTTACAACAGCATATGTGCCAAAAGAAGTCAGGAGATTCGTCATAGGAGGTCGCATTTCAATCAAGTCAAAAGAGCGATCTTACTTCCTTGGACGTGTATTGGCGCAGACGTACTGAAACTGGCGTGCTGAAATTACTCCAGCTGTGATGTATCGATAGTAAAAGTAGGCATGTAATCAGGCGAACAGTCCCAAGTAGACGTATTTTGCTCTCAGTATTAGCCACTTTCATGGTGAGTATGTGTTAATGCGTATGGGATTATGGTATGTGTTAATGCGTATGGGATTTTTAGATACTTCGATGTTTTTTTTGCGAAATGTCTCCATTTGGTGCCCAGTGAACCCGTCGGCCCGCTGATGTAGGATTCTTATGCCCCCCCCCCCCCCCCCTGTTCTTTCCGTCCATCTTTGCTATGCTTTTTGATCATTCTGGCTGCGTGTAGTGGCAAATCCTTACTCGCCCTCAAGCGTGACAGGCTACCCGGCTGTTGGAAGCTCGTTTTGCATCGGTTACTTCACGTGCTTCGGGAAGCAGCGCGTCGCTGTGGTCATCGCATATGAGTTTCTTACGACGCTGTTTGCCTTGCGCTGTTTGGCGTATCATGGTAGCTGACATGCTCCTGGTGCAGGTGTATTGTGTATTACTAGGTTGTTGCTCTGTGGTAGTTGACATGCTCCTGGTACCGGCGTGCTGTGCGCCACCTGTCCTTAGCTTGGCAGACGTCACTGCCGTCAGGACGTTATCTGTGGTCAGCAGCGTCGCTTAGGTGACGGTGCGATGGTGTTCAGTCGCATCTCTCTTCTCTGTCTCTGTCTTCGTCTCCTTGGCTGGGCTCTTCTCGACTGCTGCTTTACCTGCAAGGTAAATGTCAATCAGTGCATGCCCCTACACATTGAGATCACCTGCCGCATTTACACATTTGTATCTGCTTAGATACCCATCGTTTTCTATACCTTTTGTTCCCCGTATTGCTGGAAAGGTCTACAAAAATTGCGTCAAGGATCAAAGATAAGTGCAATTCAGTCCTTTAACATCATCGTGGTACAGGGAAGATGCTGGATTCGTAATCCACCGGCTCTGGGCTCTAGTCCTAGAATGAACTTATTGTTTGGCCTGATCATTTATCATGCAGGAAGGTCAGCTGGTGGCTGATGCATTTTCGGTCATGTAAGCTGAGTTAAAAATGTCTTTTGAGTGCTGTATGGCAAAATGCCAAACATAGTTATCGATGGAAGAATAACCACATTACACCTTTGGCAGTGCCTCCCGGTGCACGTAAAAAGTTGTGCTTAGCTATAACCAGTCTGTGGCCAAATCGTTCTGTGCAAACCGTGCCACGTTTCTTGTGTAACGTATTGGTTTGGATCTTATAAATCAACGCGACATTGTTAACATCGTCGTTTTGTAGCATTTGTTTGGTATGTGTCTCAAAGGCGCTATTTTTGGAGACCAGTTGTGCATCGCCGCCGGCCGTAGATAGGCTCCGCATGTCCTATGCCTGCTGCATTAGCACATTGCGCAGAAATTGCTGTTCTTCAAATATCAGAGCGGTGTTGCCACTGTTTCACATCTTCAAGATTTGTGCATTTTTACGGCTGAAACTCTTAGCGCAGCTTGTTGACCTCGTCACCACGTAATTGCTTCACCCAGCGTTTCTGGTGCTGACTCCTCCGGCCACTGTCATGCCTGCAGGTCTGACTTCTGTTTGGTGCTTCCTGTCTCTGAGGTTTGGTTCCGAACCAAGGTGATATCACTTTCAGGACGCTGTAACGCCCGGCTGCAGCCGAAGAGACAACCGGTCGAAGCGCTGTGTGAAGGAAACGATGACCCCATTGACGAGGACAACAGTCTAAATTATTTTCCATGTGCACTAACATCTCGTTTTCATCATTCCGTTGGGCCTGCCAGTGATCCCTTGGGTGATAACGTAGGTACCGTTCTCGAAATTGGCTGGCGGATTACCCCGCTGCCCTAACGCTGCATGGCTGCGTGCTCCAACGCAGTGGACTTTTCCTCGCACCGCACCCCGCAGTCTCAATGCTTCGCAGCGCTAAATTCCCTTCAGGCTTCCTCTTCACGCTGGCCAGTCTCCGGGGGTGGCACCGGCCTGTCTGGCCAGTGTCTCCCTGCTGGCCAGTCTCCGGGGGTGGCACGGGCCTGTCCGGCCTGTCAGGCCCCTCCCCGCTCCTAAGTATATCGACCAGGCGGCGGACGCCGGCATTGCCGTGGCTTCCTTGACCCATTCCCCCCAACGTCCCGCCCGTGTCCCAGTGTTATCGGGCACCCCTGGCATCACCCTGTGCGTTGGAGAGTTCGCTGACAGCGCACAAGGAGAGAGAGAGAGAGAGAGAGAGAGAGAGAGAGAAGAGAGAGAGAGAGAGAGAGAGGAGAGAGAGAAGAGAGAGAGAGAGAGAGAGAGAGAGAGAGAGAGAGAGAGAGAGAGAGAGAGAGAGAGAGAGAGAGAGAGAGAGAGAGAGAGAGAGAGAGAGAGAGAGCTACTAGTCCGCTGTCCGCGGTTAAAACGCGAGGTGGTAAACGGAGCTCCATGTTTAGAAACTATCACAAATGTTGCAATGCATGATGCCATCACCGTAGGCAACAAAGGAAACGTGGCGGGCTCACTCAAAGGGCCTGCCAGATTACATGCCGACCCAAATTTTGCCAAATAATGCTAACTGCATCGGCATTGCATGCGGAACCCAAAAGGATGGATTGAAGCTGGTAACAGGGGTAGAACTACTCCATACTACTCTATTCCATACCACTTCTACTCCGTACTACTCGACTCCATACTACTCTACTCCATTTTACTCCAGGACTTCTTTCTCGAAGTATGGATGCTACCATTAGCTCGCTGACCTGGAAGCCAATCACAGAATGAATGCTGTCAAGACCTCAACCAATGCGTCGCGCTGCGCGGTGGTTACGCTTTGACGCTGCTGGCAGGGGTGCCATTCGTTTCATGCGACGCCCTCGAAGCATTAGTTTATGGGTATTATAACTGCAATCGATCACAAGGATTTGGATTTCATATATTTCTTGTCACAATGTTGTTCTGATCGCTTGTTGCTTGCAGAATTCATCATCGCACAAAGACTACTGCAATCATGCAATCATGCAATGATAGCAATCAGGGTACGAAGACTACTGAACAATTTGGACGCATGCTAGAAAAAAACGAATCCGATTTTAATGAATTGAAATGGTTTTTGGCAGTCACAGGCAGGGAGTCGGCAACTGACGACTTCCAGAAAGACGCCATTTCAAGAGGAAAGGATGACATTTCAGATTGAAAGCGAGAAAGCTGTGCGGTCCAAATCGGACACACCTAATCTAGAAGGGACACGCATTGCATTGAAGGCTTAACACGAAATGCGGGACTCTCCTTTTGACGCGATTCCTGCTCTGTTATCCAGCTGTCTGCCCTTGGCTCAATGACACAGGTCTGGTCGACTCTGCCTTCGATTGACCTTTATCGTAAGCCCATGTATAATCCGCCGTCACCAACATTATTGTCTGTAGGGCTGCTGCTATTGATTTTTCATAATTCATGCTGTGTCTGTAAGGTTAGCTCGTGTCGTGGCCGTGCTGCTATTCACGTTGGAGGCATCACTGCCGAGTCCAAACTCCATGAATCAATGCATTGTTCTGCTTTTCAGAAATTTTCCGCTGAAGAAGACACATTCAAGCCACCCACCACTGGGTGTTGGGCCGTGACTGGACGTGCGGCACTTGCAGTGATACTACACCATCGATCCCCGACCAACTGGGCTTCTCCGCGGCTGGTGGCGCCCTGGCACCACCTGCGCTTCACCCAGAGAAGCCCGGGCGGGCCCGCTGACCCCGGCTGGCCGCTGCCAGACTGCAGAGCGAACACTCAGCCGCGACGCGCTGGGAATCCAGAGCGACGTCCATGGAGTCCGTCCCGATGGACTCTGCTGGGGACTCACGAGTGCCGCGGGCCCTCAGTGAAGCGGCGTGAAGCTGGCAGAGCCGGCTCGGCGCGGCCAATGAACCTGTGCGCTCGCCGTCGGCTGATGACGTCACACTGGTGGTGCCAGCTGTCGGCTGATGACGTCACGCCGGTGGCGGCTGCTGTCTGCTGACGGCTGGGACGTCCCGGTCCGGACCAGCTCGGGCGCCCCTGACGTCCGCTTCCGCCGACGTCGAAGGCCTCGCCCCTGGACTGCAGCACATCTGACGGGATCTGCCAGACAGCCCTAATGAATCAGAGGTCGGAGGCTGATCTGGACCGGTGGTCTCATGGGGATTTATCTGTGGGACGCATTATCTGCTCGTCTTTAGGAGATGGCACACACACACACACATGGTCCTTGTAAAGCTTAAGGTAATAAGCTATGTGTCACGACTTGAAGATAGTTGCACTCGATTGGTACGTTTGCCTGTCACTTAGTCACTGCACCATGGATTTCCTATGTTGCCTGTGACTTATGACGTTTGGTGTCGGGGAATGTGTGATACAGCATCTTTATGGCGAGTATCTTCTTCCTTTAGCAACCAGCGACCTTGAATGTGTCGTGTGTCGGTGACTTGTGACTGCGAATGTGACTTGCGTCGGTGCTCTGCTGTTTGTTCCAATAGTTTGCAGCCTGCTGTCACTGCGACGAAGACAAGGACAAAATTACCCGGAACGTTTGTGGCCGGTACATGTGGCGGCTCGAACGTTAACGTGTGCTGCCCGTGTTACAGACGATGAGATGCCACGCAAGCGACGTCTCTCCTGACTAGGCCTCGACAGCCGTGCCGGACGCTGAGTCTTGCCGACTGGGCCGCGCTGCCGGCGCGTCCGTCGCTTGTTCGCTCACGGCCCACCGTTGGGGCGGACCCAGACGGCTGCTGCTGGCTCTCCGTCCTCCCGTCAAGCGGCGATGTCCTGCGGTCTCGGTGGCCATCACAGTGTCTACAAGACGGCGATTCACCTGGGGCCACTCGCGATGTGTCACACATGTTCGGGTGAAGGCAGTGCGCCCTATTTTCCTTTTGCAATGTTCTTGCTCGTGGGCGCAGGCGAGCATTGTCCTTGTGTGTGTGTCGCAGGCAAGGGTCGAGACCGCCTTTCGACTGTCATTCGCCGCCGATGGTCGTAGCTGAGCAACTACGTTGCTGTTACATCAATATTGGGTGTGCATGCGAGCACCCAGCGACAGTATTTCAGTGGGGAGACGCTATGTCGGAAGCAGGGTGTATGGTCGGTGGTGTACGTACTACTCCCTCTGGCCGGTGAGAAATACTGCCCGGAGACTGGCTACGGGTGAACGAAATCTGCCCGCCAGATGGGCGGCTCTGTTAGCAGGCTGCTGCGGCTGACGTGTTTGTGCATTAGGCCATATGTTACATTTGATGAATGTGAACATGAGCCGTGCAGTGGTGGACGTTTGGGGTGCGGGTATTGCTACGCGAGGAAACGCTTAAACGCCTTAAAGCTCGTAGATAATATATGCGACCATTCCTGCATGTGGCGTGCGCTTGGTGTCGGTTGAATGCCCCCCCCCCCCCCCCCTCCCCAGCAGCTCCTCCCAAATGTTCGCCTTCGCGCCTGTTCACGAGTTGTATTGGAATGGCAAATAGTCCCGTAGATCTTATTGCGGTCTCACGCACATATTAAAGGGAGTGTTCCACATTTATGTGAAGTTTTTAACTGAACTAGTCACCTTGAAGACCTTTCGGTGCTGTTCACAATCCTGCCCTGTTTAAGACCTAAGTTTCTCTAGTTGCTGAGCTGCACACCCGCGAAAATGAGGAAAGGTATATCGGGGAGAGTATTTCAGTCACCATGGCACTTATGTTGTCATAATCACGCCATTCAAATCATGTCATTCCATACGCAATGCGTCGATTAAGGCCAAGAAAAATATAAATGTCGCGGCGTTCATATCTGGCGTTCGTAAGCGCGATTTCCAGACGTAACGGATGTATCGAGTGAGCTTTCTTCATCATATCTGATGCTTGCTTCAATTTCTTCAAGTGTGAAACATTCCCTTTAAGCTTGCATACTTCGGCGAATTACTTGATACGAATGACACCGAGTACGTTCTCGTGTGGTCGGATGAATATGATGTCCTGGGCTTGGAGGGCCAATTTGTACCCCTGGAATATTGAAAAGTAGTAGAATAAGGGACTTTAAATTCACAGTGTCCGCCAAGCTCCATGCGAACTCGTGTGAAATTTTTTACTTCTAGGTCGCAACCTTCTGTTTTTTTCCGTTTCTCTTCGTAATTGTGGCATGTTAAATTGGGTTTAAAATGAAAAGCTGAGTTGCACGCCTTCCCCCCCCCCCCCCACACACACACAACCGCGTAATATTTCGTATGCTCCTGCACCAGAGTGACAAGTGGCAAACGGAGGTTGGCAGACGAGTGGTCTCAAGCGTGAAGTGAGAGCCGGCGCAGCGACACGCTCCGACCGCCACGTCACGAGCCGTGTGTACGGCATGCCTGAACCGACGCAACTCACTGGCAACTGTCGTCACGGCGGTGACCAAACGCCACGTGGGTGGGGCGTGGACGGCGGATGCGCTGTGGAGGGCTGACAGCAGCGCCGCGAACTTTTTGTGACGTTCTCAACGGCGCCAACATGTACACGAAAAAAGTATGCGTGATTTGTCGCCCCGGGCGCTGGGGACGTATCGATTGCGGGGGTAAACAGCGGACCACGAGTCCCATGATTGGGCAGATTTGCGATCGAACGATCGTGCGTTCTGCGATCGACAATCCACGTGCTCTTCGATTATGCGGCGATTAAAGAGCAGTGACGGCCATGCTGATCAGTGTGTCAAGCATAAAAGCAAAGGGGTTTGACGAACTGATGATGAGAGCAGCTCCGGCGTGTAGGTGCGCTAGTGGAGTTTATACATATTTAGGAGTATCAGTGGAGTTTAGAAATGTATGTGCCCTTCCGCGAGCACCTCTACGTTGACGAGGGTCGTGGACACACCACCAGTTCAGGTTCAAACCGTGATCTGGTGTGGGGAATATCCCAAAATCTTGTAGGGCCAACATGCACAGTAATGCTCCCTCCATAGACGCATACACAAATGGAGGGAAAATCAAGGGGTCATACCAACTTTTCGTGAAGATTGTTGCTCTTAGCCCCATAATGGCGCATGGAGAAAGTTGACTGAAATAAGAGTTTGTCTCGCCACGCGCTGTAATATGCTGTTTCATCGCCAGCCCCATTTAACGCCAATTCTTGTTATAAATTTTGGTGGAACGTAACCGAAGTTTTAACAATTAACAAGGGAAAAGAGGAGGTTGGACGACAACGCTTTGCTCAAGTGTAGTTGCAAATTGTGTTGAAATTCGTTTTAAAAATGGATAAAACCCTTAAGCAAGATGCAGCTGGTCTCCTGTCCATCACAACCAGGACATGTATTTTTGCTTCCGACAACCAGCTTAATTGGGGACCAAGCGACAGCCCCTTCTTGGGACGCTACGTTTAATACAGCATTAACAAGTGGATGTAGGTTGAAAGCAAAAGACACGAAAATTGTAAGACATTTCATGAACAGCCAATTAGCTGCTGGCGTGAACGAGTCATCGAGAATCAACTCGCCCTGTCCCGCAGCTACCAGAATATTCCTTCACTCCCGCCTTCGCGTGATAAAGGCGATCAAGGCTACGTGGCTGAAGCAGCAGGATTGAAGCTGCCAACTACGACTATTCAGACCAATGAGAGTTGTTGAAATATGCTGACGTCATCCAGTTCAACCAATCAGAGGTAGCCACGCCAAAAACGTTGTCCGCCTTCCCCGTCAGCTGCGGATGCGTACCGTGGCCGGCGACCGGCAAGTTGTCACTTTCGTGGCGGAGTTTGAGACTGGAGGACGGTGGTGAGAGCATTGTTCCGGGAGGCTATTGGTAAAAAGAGTAAGTATACGTCTGGTGGGACGTTGCACATGGATTGCACGAGCGGTGCACCATGGGGCTTATGTGGAGGGATTGTGTTGCCTCGTGCTTCGAGCACCAACTGTGCTCTGGGTCATGGGGAAGTGCATCAGGAAGTCGAAGGGGTTTTATGTGAAAGATACGTCCGTTATTGCGGGCCTGTTCCAGCTGTTTTGTTATCTGGCTCACAGCATGCTTAAGTTGATAGCATTTAGCTTGGTGATGCACTATTTCTGCTTCCATGGAAATTGCATCTAGCGTTGCTATCTACCTTGTCCCCTGCTATCGAGGATGATACCCCTCGGCATTATTCGATGGTGGCACCTCATTGGGTGGTTGGGCAAGCCTTATGGTTTTCAATAGGTGTGTTAGCAGATCTTTAGCTAAGTCTCATATTGACTTGTGCTGCTCTGATTTGGGCTGTTTAACTGCCTGCTGTCCTCTCCAGTTATGGTGGAGCCCTCAAATCACAGAGTGAGAGAGGCATGAATAAAATGCTGACTAAGTTTCTGATATGTTAAGTACTCCCATGTTATAGGTTGCACTCGATTTACAATTTATCCTAGCCTTGCTTTTGCAAACATGTTGATTTATGCCAACATTATGTATACACCAGACTTTTAAAATACCTTGCACCAAACATCCTGTGTGGCAGCAAAGCTTGTCAGTAAATCTGATTATGTGTACTAGGTAAATGTGATTTCTCCAAGTTTAGTGCATGACAGCCACTGATTTCAGCACAAAGTGGGCTAATGCTCCAAGGAATTAGAATGTGATTGTGATTGCAAGCGGGGTGGCTCAAATACAAATTTGGTTTCATTTCAGCCTGATTTTGCTTTGGTGCTAACATTGCATGCTTGTTGTTAGCAAGTGGTACAGTGGGTGATTTTGTTAATGCTGACTGGCCCATTTACATATCAGTTGTGAGAACAGCTGCTTGTATATTTGTGTTATATGGCTTGTATCAGCTAGGTACCTTTTTACAGTTTTCTCTTTGACGTAGAGCTAGTGTGCTGGTACGTTATGTATCTTGAGGGAATGTGGCAAGGCTGAATTTTTAAGAAAATGTGATCTTGATCTGTTTGTCTCATGTTAGTCATGTTTTGTGTTAGACTAGTCAGGCTAGTCTTAGACTAGGTCAGTTGCCAAGCTGGTCTCTGTTGAATTTGCTCACTATAGACTTGATTTTTGGTAGGCTTTGTCCTTGCACTGCATATGCATGAGAAGGCTAATTTGTGACATTAGGATCTGTTTTTTTTTTTGGAATAGCAAACATGCCACATTGAAAATTAGTTATTGTGTTGTTGCCAGTTGCATCAGGTACAGTATCTAACTATATTCTTTGTCATGGTTAGCATTGTGGATAAGGTGCAGGATATGAGCAAAAATAAATTGGTTCTTAATCCTACAGAGCATTTACAGCATGGGAGATTTGGTGATGGTCTGAATTTCATGTGTGTATCACATGGTTTGATCATCAGGTCATCGTGAAAATTGCTTGCCACGTTTGCTAATGAGTTAACTTGTAACCAACTTTAGTGTTGATTGTCTGAATTTTGATGTGATACAATTGCTGCTTTATGTGTTGACACAAGGTTTATCACACAAAGCAAATGACACCTAGCTGCTCGATGAACAGTGCTTGTAATGAAATATGCTGTAAAATGCACTAATTCCAGGTTTGGGGAAACAATTAAATTGTTAAGGTCAAAAGTTTTTATAGCACTGACTCATCCATGTTTTGGGTGTGCAATGATTGTTTACATCATGTTTTTCACTTTACAGGTTGTTAAGAAGGCAGAAGCCAGGATGTCAGCCAAAGTATTGTTGCTGGGCCTAATGGCCATTGCAGTGTTTGCAGCAGAGAAAGATGAAAAGGCTGAAGTCGGGACTGTGATTGGCATTGATCTTGGTACAACATATTCATGGTAAGTCATACTAGTGTCATGCTGAACACTGGCTGGGGGGGGGGGGGGGGCAATTTGCCCCCTCCCGAGCTGAAACAACTTTTGAATTATGCCAAACTTGGTATAGTGACAGGCAATTGATAGTCTGTAGTAAAGCTCTTGTAAACTTCTTAAAGGCCTTACAGGCTAATGTCTTGCTGTAATGTTGCAGAGAAGCATATATGCACCTAAAAGACACTGCTGTGAACATTGCAGATGCATTGTTTGTTTGCCAAAATATGGCATTGGCCTTCCTTCCAGGATCAAGGCAATGCCTTTTTACTCACTCTGTCTTATGGAGAGCATCAACACAGGATTGGCGTGAAATGTTGTTGTGTACCTGCTTTCTTTTTAACTTCCATTCATGATGTAATGATTTGTGTTCCATGTTTCAGTGTTGGTGTGTTCAAGAATGGCCGTGTTGAAATCATTGCCAACGACCAGGGAAACCGTATCACTCCATCCTATGTGGCCTTCACCAAGGACGAACGTCTCATTGGTGATGCAGCAAAGAACCAGCTGACATCGAACCCTGAGAACACTGTGTTTGACGTGAAGCGGCTGATTGGACGGGACTGGTCTGACAAGGGTGTTCAGAGCGACTTGAAATACTTCCCATTCAAGGTGAGATATGCTTATGTGGTTGGTCACAATGGTCTAGCTGTAAATACCTGTCAGAAATGTGTTGTTGGCTGTAGAAACTTGTGAACAACAGTTTGCCGGAATGTGCCTTGAAAAGGCTGGAAATACCTGTAAATTGTGTGTAGATCTCCTGAAAGCTACCAGACTCAATGGAACCTTTAAGCTTATGAGTTTAACATTCCAATGAGTTGTCCAGTCATAAATTGTCATGAGGAATTTGATGTTGACAATCATGGTTGGCTGGCTTCACATTAAGAAATTGGCAAAGCAGCCTGGGTGAATTCATTTGGAGTGCTGAAGTTGATCTTCGCGCAAAAGAGTGGTGAAGATGTGGTAATTAACCCAGTTTTGTATGTCATTCTCAATTACAGGTATTGGAAAAGAACAGCAAGCCCCATGTTAGAGTCGAAGTGGACAGCAAAGACAAGGTGTTCACGCCAGAGGAGATCTCAGCTATGGTGCTGTCCAAGATGAAGGAGACGGCCGAGTCGTACCTGGGCAAGAAGGTGACACATGCAGTGGTCACGGTGCCCGCCTACTTCAATGACGCCCAGCGCCAGGCCACGAAGGACGCCGGTTCGATCGCTGGTCTGACTGTGATGCGTATCATCAACGAGCCCACCGCCGCCGCCATCGCCTACGGCATGGACAAGAAGGAGGGAGAGAAGAACGTGCTGGTGTTCGATCTTGGCGGCGGCACCTTTGATGTGTCGCTGCTGACCATCGATAACGGCGTGTTTGAGGTGGTGGCCACCAACGGTGATACCCACCTCGGAGGCGAGGACTTCGACCAGCGCGTCATGGAACACTTCATCAAGATGTACAAGAAGAAGCATGGCAAGGACATCAGGGGTAACAACCGCGCCATCCAGCGGCTGCGGCGTGAGGTGGAGAAGGCCAAGCGCGCGCTCAGTTCACAGCACCAGGTGAAGATCGAGATTGAGAACTTCTTCGAGGGCAACGACTTCTCCGAGACTCTGACGCGCGCCAAGTTCGAGGAGCTTAACATGGACCTGTTCCGTGGCACCATGAAGCCCGTCCAGAAGGTGCTGGACGACGCCGACCTGCAGAAGAAGGACGTCGACGAGATCGTTTTGGTGGGCGGCTCCACTCGCATCCCCAAGATCCAGCAGCTGGTGAAGGAGTTCTTCAACGGCAAGGAGCCGAGCCGTGGCATCAACCCGGACGAGGCGGTGGCGTACGGCGCGGCCGTGCAGGCGGGCGTGCTGAGCGGCGACAGCGACACCAGCAACATCGTCCTTCTCGACGTCAACCCCCTCACCCTGGGCATCGAGACCGTGGGCGGCGTTATGACCAAGCTGATCACGCGCAACACTGTCATCCCCACCAAGAAGTCGCAGGTATTCTCCACCGCCTCGGACAACCAGCACACGGTCACCATCTCCGTGTTCGAGGGCGAGCGGCCGATGACCAAGGATAACCACGAGCTGGGCAAGTTCGACCTGACCGGCATCCCGCCGGCGCCGCGCGGTGTACCCCAGATTGAGGTCACTTTCGAGATCGACGCCAACGGTATCCTGCAGGTGTCTGCCGAGGACAAGGGCACCGGCTCCAAGGAGAAGATCGTCATCACCAACGACCAGAACCGTTTGACTCCCGAGGATATCGAGCGCATGATCCAGGACTCTGAGAAGTATGCCGACGAGGACAAGAAGCTCAAGGAGCGCGTCGAGGCGCGCAACGAGCTGGAGTCATACGCCTACAGCTTGAAGAACCAGCTGGCGGACAAGGAGAAGCTGGGCGCCAAGCTGTCCGCGGACGAGAAGTCCAAGATCGAGGAGGTGATCGAAGAGAAGATCAAGTGGCTTGACAGCAACCAGGAGGCAGAGGCGTCAGAGTACAAGGCGCAGAAGAAGGAGATGGAGGATGTGATCCAGCCCATCATCTCCAAGCTGTACCAGGGTGCGGGCGGCGCGCCGCCGCCGACGGACGACGCCGAGGAGTCGTCCGACAAAGACGAGTTGTAGGAGCTGCGACCATAGCTAGGGATCGTTCTTAAAACCGGTGATATTTATTTTGTGTGCACATGTCAGACTATGGTCGTTTTCTCCACCTTGGTTAACTCGGTCTGAGTGAAGCAGTTTGAAACGTAGCTTACATTCTCAAGCGAGTGTGTCTGAACGTGTGCGTGCGAATCTCTGATGTCGGCTCAGAGGAATAGCACAAAGCATTCCTCTCGTTTTTCATGGGTGGAATGGACATCGGTGCGGTAACGGCCGAACACGTGTAGGGTCCAGCTGTACCAGTTTGGCGGTAAGAGCGAGAGTGGCATTTGTTGCTGTTACTGAGATCACATGGGTTGATCATTTATTCATGATTTGAAGACTTTCGAGCGTTAGGAATCCACTGCAAAATGCCTGCTGCAACTCTTATGGTGTTTTGCCACGAATATCCGGCTATTTTGTGTACAATTACAGTGGTGGGCGGTGTTTGAAGAGGTTTCTAATAAAACGCTTGACATGTTGAACCGGTGTTTTTACTCTGGTTACCCAGCCAGAGCCGAATTAGACCCTTCAATGACGCTGGCCTTTGTTGGCGTTGCGCCAAACGCGTGCTGCCAGTTTGATGGCAGATGAGTTCCACAGATTAGTCTGACTATCGTTCAGACGAAGTGGGGTTAGTGAACTGCTGGCCGCCCGTTGATCACGCCCGATAGGATAGACTAGTCCATAATGCCGGTCACTGGCGAATTTTGAGCGGCTATGGCGCCTGGTCGGCACGCGAGCTGCAGGCGCGTGCACGTCTCCATCGGATGCCAAGTGCCCCCCCCCCCCCCCCCCCTCCCCCCGGGCAGACACCAACCCCAGCGCGCGACGTGACGGACGGGCGCCGCACGCGCGAAAGGCGGCCGTTATCCGTGAAAACCCGGGAAACGGACTCTGCTGATTTACACAATAGAGCACGCACGGATGCATGCACTGTCCCGTTCCTACTACAGAACCATTCCTGTCCGCCATGTATATAGTGCACAGGATCTCGACAACAGACGATCCTGATCCTGATCTCGATTTCGATCTCGCGTATCAACACTAGAATGCGTACAGCATGAGGTGGTCTACGTGGTTGCCGGGTGGTTCGATCGCTGCCCGGTCTGACTTGCTCTGGCGTTCTCGTCTGGTTTGGTGGTTCTTGTGTAGGCTAGGTGGCCCCGATGTCCGTGGTGTGGTCCTGGCGGCGGTCTGCCCTGCGTGAGCGCGCTTCCGAATGGTCCGTGGGTCGAATCCGACGGGTTTGCGGGGGCGGTCGCATCTAATCGCACCCAATCGGAGCCTGTCAAACAGCGTCACGTGATCTGGGGGTGCTCCCGCCTGGTCTGTGCGGGTGCAGCCTAATGTTCTCCTGGGCTCCCATAGCGGTCTGCCGGTCCCGGCTGTGGTCCCGTCTGCCGGTCCCGGTCCGCGGGGTGGTCCCGCCTCGCGGCGGCCGGCCGGCCGGACCGTCGCGCCTGCGGTGCGCGTGCTCCAGGCGCTACGTCGATGCGCCCCGACTCGACTGGTCGATACCGGCCGTGCCACCCAGCACGGCCGCGGCTGACGCACGGCCTCCACCGACTCCGGCCCCTGCACAGGTAAGACCCTGCCCCGCTTGCTGACGCGGTCCGGGGCGGTACGGCCTCGGCCCGGGCCGCCACGACCGACCCGCCGCCCGCGCGGTCCGAGGCCCGCCGCCCTCCTCCCCCCGCCCCGTGAGTACCATATGTTTGCGGGCCGTGTGCGGTGGGTGGGCACGGAAGGCCGCTGCTGGCGCTGAAACGAGGCACCGCTGAGGACGTGAGTGCTAGGGGCTGTGGCACAGGGGTTTGCTCTTGTTTAAATGCCAGATTGTTTTTTTGTGCGTGGAGATTGGGCGTAAAAATTGATTTTTTTCCGGCAACAACAAACAGTATGCAATAAATGTCAACGTACTGGACTTATCCGAGCTGCACGAGCTGTCAACATCAGTTTCCTGTGCTGTTCATATAACATACGTTAAAAATCGTTTGGCGTCAGTCGCAGCGATGCAAAACGAGACAATGTTTTTGCACCTATTTGTATTGTTGCATCATTATTGCATATTTTTGCCGTTATGGTCTCTTTTCATCAGCACGCACTACACGTACGTTGTGAGATAATTTGCGTTTGAATTCTGGATTCAAGGTGATCTTGGTTTTTTTCAACCACCACGACTCTGTGTATGAAGATATTTGATCGCAGTTTGCATCATTTTGCCAGTTAATGTCGGCGCAAGAGTTTTCCACGTCATGACGACTAATGCGCTTACACGCGACGCAGACGCGATATATATATATATATATATATATATATATATATATATATATGCGTGCGTGTGTGTGTGTGTGTGTGTGTGTGTGTGTGTGTGTGTGTGTGTGTGTGTGTGTGTGTGTGTGTGTGTGTGTGTGTGTGTGCGTGCGTGTATGTGTAAAGATGGCATCTCCATCAACATATTTATCACGAGCATTGTTTTGCCGAGCGTGACCAGTGAGTGTTCGTGACATGTTTGAATGTGTGTGCATGTCAAATAATCTTGGGGATTTGCTGGCGTCAGCACAGGGGCTATTTGCTTTGTTGTAATGGGTTACGGTATTTAGTACGGTGCGCGCGAGCAAATGCCCAGCCATATGGCTTCTCGCAAGGTTTGTGTGTGTGTTTGCGCAAAGCGTCCCACAGGTGATGCGTTTTCACGTACATCGCTGCTAGCGTTGCGGCAAACTTATATTGTATGAACATAGAGATACGTAATTGTTGATGCATCAAAAAGAGCAAATTATTATGTTTCGGTTACCACAGGCGTGGCTGCGACAACGGAATGAAATGACGGCCGATAGACCGAATACCGATAGGGTTATTCCAATTTCGAACGTGGCATGATCCAGGGATCACCTAAACATTTGCGACGCATAAAGTAAGCAATGCAAAATCTGAGCACCGTAGTGTAAAGACACAAAATGAAAGGAATTATCACGAGTTTTGCATGAATGTAACGCGAATTTGTCGGTCCCGGTCACTCAGTAGGTTAGAACGCCTGCTTTTCAATCCACCCACTCCTAGCGGGGTGGGATCGAATCGGTTTAGGCGATCGCTGTTTGACCTTGACAGGTGAGGCCCGCGTCCGGTGGCAGCGGTCGCGCTAAAGGTCAGTTGACGTCAGGCAGCCAGACAGACCGTGCCGAGCGTTGCGTTAAACTTTCGCCATTGCCTGGAATTGCGCGATCCGATGGTAGCGGTCAGGGCTCACACAAGCACTGCTTAGCGTGAGCTGTGGTCTCGGAAATCTATCCATTCAAGGGGTGCGGATCATATCTAAAAAAATAAATATTTGGTTCAATGATAAATGCCCCTAATTATCGCTGTGAAAAGAACTGGAAGAGTCAGGACTGTCTAAAATTGCTCCGTACCAAGCACATTAAGAGCGCTAGTCGATCTCGCTGATGACGGGGTCGAACGTATTCGAGAACCCTCACCGTATTACAGCCTCTTTATGACGTCGCCTCAGACGTACGAACAGTAACACCGCATTTCACAGCACATTGTGGCTGAGGACCAACGACCACTGCACAGGGAAAATCATCGGGGAGACGCTGTAAAAGGCGTTGCGACCGTGCCAGTGGTCTCATGTCTTTACAGTGCCGGTACTTTGTTCGTAAATTCAAACATCATGTTCCTGATGCGGGCACTCTAAGTTCGAACGGTCGCTTTATGAGCGGTTTCGCATGGTTATATCTCCCGGGAGATATCTTATTTCACTTTAAGTGCAAGGAGACTCTCAGATGCACGTGTCTGTGTTTGCACGTGACGGATCGCCCGGAGCTCCAGCAGCTTGTGCGCAGCTCAATGAGGCTTATTCATATTCGTATTTTGAGGTACATATTACCTAAATTATGTATGTATGTTATGTTATGTTGTGTGCGTCATAAGATCAAGTGCAAGATGGTTGCATTGCTATCCAGTACGCATCCCGGTCGATGACATGCTCGGGGGGGGGGCAATGTTATCCCCCAGAAAGTTGTCCAGAATTGTTTCCTAACTGTGTGTGCTGCGACCAGCTGCACAGCCGATCTTTTCGTACAAAAATGATACGCCTTTAAGGTCGCTGACCAAAGCAGGTCAGCAGGTCAGCAGTCAGTCATCAGGTCAGCAGGTCAGAGTCAGGCCGTGGCTGTCAGCGAAGGCAATTTTTCTGTAAACGATCAATAGGGTACGACAAGGAGGTGTCAGCAATGCTATGCATCTTTGAGATATTTGAGATTTTTAGGCAATTTAAATTGTGACTGGAACTAATTCTATTGACGTTAGGTCAGGTACCATTGTCAGAAGAAGTTAAACCTTAGCAGCTATATTGCTGGTAAATTTGCTATACGGGGTACGCTGTTGCTCATTTGTTGTTTGTGCTCGTTGCTCAGAGCTCAATGCTCAATGTTGCTCGTATGCTCATTTGGAATTCGTGAATTCGTGTCATTCTGACGTCATGAAGGTGAGAACAAGTTGCTTACCTAAAAGGATCTCAAACAACCTTTTTGCTACGAGAAGCATACCGCCTAGGGTAGTGCCTGATGCCCACTGGAAATTCAAATTCCCAATAATCCTGAAGCTTTTTGTCATTTTCACTTCTTTAAAGTCAATTATCGTCACCGATATGTCGTGACCACCACTGGCCCTTTGCCTGTTAAGAATATATACGCAAAACCGCGTCCAGCTGAGGGGGAGGGAAGTTGACTCCTCCCTTACTATTTTTCTAGCACAGCTGAAAAACGTTACAGCAACATCAAATTGTTAGCACCTGTTTATCGATCAATTTGGCATCCTTTGTGCAAATTTAAAGTTTTGCTCTATCGAGGTCGGTGACTAAGGCTAGGTCAAAGACGTCAACCCCTTGCAAGTTTTGGCCACGCAACACTTTTTTATAGGTCATTTGTCATCAGTTCAAACGTACTGTGTTAATAAAATATGATATTGCACCTACAGTTTGCATCCTTCAGATTCTTTTTGGCAACGGGCGAGGTCAGTGGCCTAGGGTCAGGTAAGCTTTCGCAAATGGTTCGTGTGTGATGCAAATCTCTACATATTTTGATGCTTGTTTTGGGGTTTGTATGTGAAGAGAAGAGCACTAACTCACATGCACAGCCATCAGATGACCAGAGGGCGCATGGCATATCTCTTTGGGTGCGTTTTACAAAACACATATTGAGCTCAAAACAGGCCATTTTTTGCATGTAGTGACCTCTGGTGACCCCAAATATGACCTCAGATTAGATATGTGGCGTGCATTTTTCATGATCTGACAAGGCCTTCACCGCGGTATCTTTGTTTTCCTCGCACGATGTCTGAAAGTTGGATATCCTTAGGGGAAGTGAATTCCCCTCCTCCCTCGCCCAGGTGTGGTCGTCTCAAACCCCTGGCCGGGCCGCAGGTTAAGATTATTGGTTGCGTAAGGAGGTCTGAGGGCACTTTGGACACCTTTCTGCGGTTTGACTCCGTTTGACCTTATTTGACCCCCAGTTGTGTGCTTCAGGGGTGTATGCCTATGGATCTCCACATTTCACACAAATGAGTTAACATAAAGCCCATCCTCGTTTGCAACTTAAGTGTCTCCAGCTTTCTTAGATACTCATCAGATCGCATGGTTTGAACCGGCCACCCAAGCGAGTGACACACGACGTTAAAGACCAGTAGAGACGCATTTCATAGCCTATACATTGATTAATCACTGTCAGCAAGTGGTGATTTCTCCATGTGAAATATTTGCTTTGACTCGCGGGTGACGATGTGACGCCCGCACTGAGGCAGCTGAGCATTGCTGTGACGTCTTGCCGCGGGAATGGGAGTGCTACTGTTACCGACGGCGTGACGGCTCCTCGTGCATTCCATGTCTCAGGAATCGATATGGCTGGGTGCTTATATCGCTCCCGCCTGCCAGTTTAAGATTGAGCTTTCACCTCATCTAGTATTTTCTAACTGATGTTAAACGTGTCTTCCGCTATCTGTCCCTGTAACGCCGGAACCGTGTGCCTTCGCCGCTCCCCTGCTCTGTCCGCCGCGTCCCCGTCCCAGTCACCGATACCGGCCTGGCGGACAGATGGTGTTCGGTGACAGCCTGCCCCATCGAGAAGGGCTCGCCGCGCCAGCACTCGAGAGGACTCCGTGAGGGCGGTTGGCCACCGGTTCAGGCTGCTGTACCCCATTCCCAGGGCTCGCTCCGTCTCCGTGCCGTCGCTTGCGTTGCTTTCCTTTTGAGTTCGTGCTAGTTCACCGCTTTTCTTTATTTTTCTTTTAGCAACAATACACCTTGAGTGGTCAATATCAAGATCGCTTTTGTACTTCAGTGTTTCACATGTAACAGTTCCAAAAAGTGAGTGAGTTTTTGAAGCCATTTCCCAAGCGGGATGATCACGGTGGGGTAATGTTAAACTATGCGAGAAGTGGGCTGTTTGCGGTTCTCCCCTCCTCTCCCCTCCTCTTTACCTACGCCAATGGCATGTGTCCGGTGACAACCGGCCGCCCCTGTGACGCCTGCCAATGACGGTTGGCCAGTGGTTCTTTGGCGCCCGTCTTTGAAGGCTGACGGCTCCTGTGACGCCTGCCTGTGAAGGCTGACAGCTCCTGTGACGCCTGCCTGTGACGGCTGGCAGCTCCTGTGACGCCTGCCTGTGACGGATGGCAGCTCCTGTGACGCCTACCTGTGATGGCTGGCCGCTCCTGTGACAATCTGTCTGTGACGGCTGGCCCCACCTGTGACATTTGTCGCATTACAAACGTCCACTCCTCTGCGGTCTGCGTAGCGCCAGCCCACAACTTCTGTGACATTGGCTCTCGGACAGACTGCTGTCTGTCGGACAGCGCTGTGTCCGCTGGCCGACAGAAACCCGTGTTGCAGTATCAGCAAGCCATACCAGAACCCCACTGGCCGGCCAGCCCGTGCTGGTGACGGCAGCACCCGTGGGCCACAAAACCAGGAGCGATGAAGCTGGGCGGGGTCGACTGGAGCCGGTTCGGTCTGAGCTCACGGCCGGCCGCCGAGCAGGCCGCGCCGCCCGCTGAGCCCGGGTCCGACGCGCTCGGCGCGCCGCCCGAGGGCGAGGACGAGCTGTTCGCCGACGAACAGGTGGGCATCGCGCCGGGCGTGGTCCACAGGCTGCTGTCCAGGGGGCGCCCAAACGTGTGCATGCTCCCCTCCCTGGTGCACGGGGCAACATCAAGCCGAGTGGAACCGGCGCCTGTTGCTCACTTGGTCTCTACACGAACCATCCCGCTTTTTGGGGTGCACTTTCCTACTCAGTTCTAACGGCCTTTGCCCCTCTCCACACTTTGGCTCCTGTCCCCAACTTTGAGAAGAAAGTGGGCCAAATCCGGAGAGAACCCCTCTTGTTGTGGTTTTTTTGGGGGAGGGCTCGTCATTTTCACCGATCAGCCTCCCCCACCCTTATTTTGCAAATCTGCGCCCCTGCGAGCCTCCGTTGTTCAGCGGAATATTCCCACCTCTCCGCGAGCGCAGCCGCCTGCCGGCCGAAGCTCGCTCTCCCGCCGCACCGAGTGACGATGCAGGACAGAATCCAGGCAGGCCGCAGCCCGAGCGGACGCACTGTGGAACGGCCGATCTGGAGATGTTTACGCCGTTATCGCATTTTGTTACATCTCTAGAAACTAGACACAAACAGCATCATCTTGGGAAGTCTGCGCGGCCAAGTGCTCGAGGGGGAAGTTTCTGATTTGGTCGGGTGGGCCTCCAGCCCCTAGCTTCCCGACGCCTCGGTGTCCGTCCTGTCCCGACTGCTCAGTTGGTTAGAGCACCCGCCTCACGATTCATCTACCCGCGGCGGGGTGAGTTTGAGTCGCCATAGGTGCTCGCTATTTGCCCTTGAAGGGCATGACCTGCGGCCGGTGGCAGCGGCAGCGTTAAAGGTCAAATGATGTCAGAGGGCAGGGCGGACCGTGCTGAGCATTGCGGAACGTTAAACTTTGGCCGCCAAGTTCTGCCGTTGACCGGAACTGCGCGATCAGATGGTGTGGGCCAGTGCTCATACAAAGGGCACTGCTTAGCGTGAGCTCTGATCCCAGAAATCCATCCATTCAAAAAGTTGGGATGAATTCTTCAAAACCTCGAGCTGCATCCTGCCCAACTTTGAGAGGAAAACGTGAGTCAAACCCTGGGGAACTCCACTTTATGGCGTACTTTTTGGCCTACATTGAACTATTTTTACGCAACTTAGTTGCCCTCCCCCTCCCCAACTCATTTTGCGAAACTACGCCCAGCAGTGTCAACATTCTTAAAGCGAGATGATTTCTTTCCGAAAATCTGCGGCGTCAACAACTATCAGTTATGACCGTTTGTTCCGCGTCTTGGGAAGACACCAAACTGTAAACCACGCAGCATATTTTTCACGATGTTTTTTCTGGCTTTCGTTCGTCAGGGCAACCATCGAAAAGTCTGAGCAAGGACGTGTTCTTTCCTTGACCGCCAGCGACAGCAACCATGGTGGCGGTCCAACTTCTTCGTCTCGTCGCCGGTGCTGTTCGGCACCTGGGACGGCGTCTTCACCACCGTGCTGGTGAACATCTTCGGCGTGATCGTGCTGCTCCGCTCCGGCTGGGTGGTGGCGCAGGCCGGCATGGGCCTCACCGTCCTCATCATTCTCGCTTCCGGTTCGTGCTCACCCATCGCTAACTGCCTCGCATTCCCGTCGGTGGTTTTCGAGCCACATTGTCGCTTCTGCTCTACAACGGTGGCTTGTGGTCCATTAGCGGGTCAACTAGTTCGGCACACGAGCGCAGGGAGTGTTGGGTTCGTCTCGATCCATACACTGCCGCAGGCTGAATGTCACGTTTTCCAGACCCTGGGCACATCCCCGGTTCCCTTGGGCCTGTCGGGAGTAAGGGCGAGACGCATACATGCATGCATAATGTCTGCGCTGCCGCGCGGGTGTGCTGCGAGCCACGACGCTGTGGCGTGGCTAATGTCTGCAGAATGCAGATGTGGCCCTCGGTGCTGCACCGTGTCTTCTGATCTCTATCTCGTGCTCCATGCCATGTCCACAGTACGCGTGACCCTGACATCGGTGCAGCACCGTGTCTTCTGATCACCACTCCGTACTCCTTGTCGTGCCCACCGTACGTGCGGCCCTGAACTCCGTGCATCATCGTGTCCTCTGATCACCACCTCACACCCCACGCCGTGTCCACAGTGTGTGTGGCTCTGACCTCGGTGCTGTCGGCGATCGGCATCTGTGAGCGCTGCCGGCTGGCCAACGGCGGCGTGTACGCCCTCGTCTCGCAGGTGCTCGGCTCGCACATCGGTACAGCTCTCGGCCTCGTCTACTGCTTCGGCCAGGTGCGTACCGCTTCCCGGCTCTCCAGTGGCCCTGCTGGGACGGGATGGCTCCGCCCCTCTCTTGCGGTGCAGCGTGTGAACTCTGTCTGATCTTGACGAGTTGGTCAGCGCAAAATATAACGAGCACGTTCAGGCTAACCGAAGAAGACATAGCAAAGAACAGCAAACGCCATGCCGTGTTGAGACCCGGGCGACATCTGCCTTAACAGTTTTTCCTTTCTGTCCGCTGTTAGGCTTCCAGCTGTCAGTCTAATGTCATGCGGTCCAACTCCTGACATCCGGCGGCCCGGCGTACTTCAGTTTCACATCTCACAGAGCAATGTCTGATCAGTCCGACTGCTGTCGAGCATACTGACGTTTAAAAGGCTTGCGTCAGACAGTCTGATGCTAGACAGACCAACGTCAAGCAGTCTCAACTCTGGAAGCCTGATGTCTGATAGTCCAACGTCCGGCGGTGAGAAGTCCGGCAGCGCGAAATCTGACAGCCATGTCGGGACAGCACGGTCTCGTCGCCGCCGTCGCGCCTGACGTTTCGCGCCGTAACCCGTTGCGTCTGAGCTCCCACCTCCGCTGTAAGCCGATGCGCCTGAGCTCCCACCTCCGCTGTAAACCGTTGTGCCTGCTTGACGTCCCGCCCCCCCCCCCCCTTCCGGTGTGATCCATCGCCCCTGACGCCCCCCCCCCCTGCTGTGAGTCCCTGACCTGTGTCACCTGACATTCCCCGCCGTGACCGTCGCTCCTGACGGTCCCCGGCGTGACCCATCACACCTGACAGGTCCCCGGCGTGACCCATCACACCTGACGGTCCCCAGCGTGACCCATCACACCTGACGGTCCCCGGCGTGACCCATCGCCCCTGACGGTCCCCGGTGTGACCCATCACACCTGACGGTCCCCGGCGTGACCCATCACACCTGACGGTCCCCAGCGTGACCCATCACACCTGACAGTCCCCGGCGTGACCCATCACACCTGACGGTCCCCGGCGTGACCCATCACACCTGACGGTCCCCGGCGTGACCCATCACACCTGACGGTCCCCAGCGTGACCCATCACACCTGACAGTCCCCGGCGTGACCCATCACACCTGACGGTCCCCCGTGACCAGCCTGACGGTCCCCGCGTGACCCCCCTGACGGTCCCCAGCGTGACCCATCACACCCGACGGTCCCCGGCGTGACCCATCACACCTGACCCTCCCCGGCGTCACCCATCACACCTGACCCTCCCCGGCGTGACCCATCACACCTGACGGCCCCCGGCGTGACCCATCACACCTGACGGTCCCCGGCGTGACCGTCGCCCCTGACGGTCCCCGGCGTGACCCATCACACCTGACGGTCCCCGGCGTGATCCATCGTACCTGGCGGTCACCGGCGTGACCCATCACACCTGACCGTCCCCGGCGTGACCCATCACACCTGACGGTCCCCGGCGTGACCGTCGCCCCTGACGGTCCCCGGCGTGACCCATCACACCTGACGGTCCCCAGCGTAACCCATCACACCTCAAGGTCCCCGCCGTGACCTATCACACCTGACGGCCCCCGTCGTAACCCATCGCAACTGACGCCCCCGCCGTGACCCATCGCTCCTGGCGGCCCCCGACGTGACCCGACGAATCTGACGGCCCCCGGCGTGACCCGTCACCCTTGACGGTCCCTGTCGCGGCAGATGGTGGGCTGCGCGCTGTGCGCCGCCGCCTTCGGCGAATCGATGTCAGACTTGCTCAGCACGCCGGACAACCCTTGGGTGGAGCGAGCCGTCGGCGTCACACTCGTCGCCCTGTTGACCGCCATCAACGTGGCCGGCGTCAAGTGGGTCATCAAGGTGCAGTTTGTCCTACTGGCCCTGCTGGCGCTGGCCGTGCTCGACTTCCTCTTCGGCTCAATGATAGGGGAGGGGGTCGGAGGTGAGTGGGAGCTTGGAGTCATCAAGCGGAATAAATCGTTTAAGTTTTGAAAGCTTGAAGACCTTGTTCAAGGAGTTGGCGATGAGCTGGAGACCAAGATAGCCTGTGGCGGGTTAGAGTGTTTGCACGGTCTGTACATGCACGCCTTCGATGTCCTCCACTAATCTAGGTCGACGCTCTCTCCACGCCAGGCCATGTTTCTAGTAAGGAAACGACGGCCCGTTCCCTGCGACTGCTCCCAGCGGTCTTCGTCAAGAAAAGAGGCCCGCTTTTTCGGTCCAGAAAACGCCGGATTATCTTACCAGATTTTGTCGCATTGTGCCATTAGCGTCGTGTGGTGCTTGGCCAATCCGAGCGGTCTGTGCCATTATCATCGTATGGTGCTTGGCCAATCCGAGCGGTCTGTGCCATTAGCGTCGTATGATGCTTGGCCAATCCAAGGGGTCTGTGCCATTAGCGTCGTATGGTGCTTGGCCAATCGAAGCGGTCTGTGCCGCAGGCGACGGGTTCGTCGGCTGGAGCATGGCGAATCTGCGAAACAACACCGCCCCCGGCTACACGGAGGGCAACAACTGGTTCAGTGTGTTCGGCGTGTTCTTCCCCAGCCTCACCGGCATCATGGCCGGCATCAACATGTCGGGCGACCTGCGGAACCCCCGGCAGGACATTCCTCGCGGCACGCTGGCCGCCCTCGGCGCCAGGTGACGCCCCGCTGCCGGTGGCGGGCGGCGAGCGGTGTCGCGATGCCGCACAGGGCAGCGGGAAATACAGCCTGTAGTACACTTGTACTATACGCAGGGGCTGCGCTGAGGGAGGGAAACGGTGGACAGGGAGATTGTCACGCGATTGCATTGAAGCCTGCGTTCTGCCCGTGTGCTGCATAGTGAGGACGGGCCCACAATGAGCTCCGTCACACCTACCTCAACCACATCAGGTGGTGGCGACGACGTTCCCGTTACGAATTAGCGCATCCCACTAACGCTCAACCAGAGACACACCGGTGGGAAGCATCTTGCCTCTGTTTGCAACGTCCCCTCGTGTTGCAATGGGGTCGAATAGGACTATTTGGTTGTTACAGGCACGGGGCTTGCAATCATTACTGGAGCATCTGTTGGTTCGGTATTTAGAACAACAAAGGCATTCGTTTCAGCACGATCCTGTATGTGATGTTCGCATTCGTCCTAGCGGCCACCTGCACAAGAGAAGCCCTCTTAACCGACTACATTATAGCCGAGCGAGTGGCCGCGACAGGTGAGACCCCTGTGGCTGAGC